TTTGTTCGAATCCACCAAGATCGGCGGAGCGACTTTTGTCAGATCCGGATCAAGATCTGGAGTGGGAGCTGATCCAAAACGACGAGTGGAACACATCCGTCTTGATCCCGATCACCCAGTGAAATAAACGCGCTTCAAAAAAGTTAAAACGCTACTTGGGGACATAGCCCGACTGTTAGGCGAGAAAATTGTACTGTTTTAAATGTCGTGGAAAACTTGATGGACGTGGACAAAAAATATTCTCATAAACTGCGCAGCAGTTCCTAAGCAGTTTCACTGTTGGTCCGCCAGGGGGCCAGCATTTCGGTTTCCGGTGGACTTGCCTCCACTTCTTCCTTGGGCTGTTAGCCACAATGTAACCCTTGGTATGTACATAATAAAATACTTATGGGCACAACAGTGGCTACGAAGATGAGATTGGATGATTGAAGCAACGAACGGTGAGCGCTCAAGTCCTACTCAAGCCCAACATGTCGCAACAGACGCCGCCGACATTCAGGTCGTCGCGTACGACGCAGGAGTCCAAACGTGGACCAGCTACGCCGAAAGGCTTTTTTTTTTTAAGTGAACGCTATCTGTATGCTCACCTACCAAGTCTTTTGGCGCCTAGGAAGCCTATGCAGGCAAGCTATACAGACATCCTCAAGGTACTAGCGCAACATCTCAACCCCGAATCTTCTCAAATTTACAAGACATACCGTTTCCAAACATAAATCCAAGGACCGAGTGAAAAAGCGGTGGACTACCTCGCCGAGCTTGGAAAAATCGCAGACAACTACAATTTCGGCGCTGCGCTCGAGCAAAACCTCCGCGATCTGTTTGTCATTGGCCTACGGGACAAGGCTGCAAAGATGGTACTACTAGCCAAGCCAAAGACACTGAACCGCGACGAGGCACTGGGAATTGCAAGAGCTGCAGAAGTAGTGACTGAGAATGTGACGCAGTTGTCTAAGACAACCGGCCAGGCACAACTGCCTGCAAGGGAAGTCGGTGCACTGCAAGTGACCGGCAGACGTCTTTTTCAAAAGGCAGCTCAACAAAATGCCCAGAACTCAGCACGACCGTGCATCCGTTGTGGTGACAGTAAACACACTCCGCCCAACTGCCCTCACAGGTTGACAACATGCTTCAAGTATAAGAAACAGGGACACCTGGCAAGTGCCTGCCTTGTTCACCAGTGCAAGCGAGGACAACACCATCAGTTTCACACAAACACCTTGTCAATGGAGGATGATTTTGTGGAGCCAAGTGATTCCTCGCAGCACCTGTACTTTGTGAGCACAGTGCTGCGAGCCTCTCAAATGGGGTCAAATCATCAAGCCTTTCAAATGGGGGCTGGTGACCCTGAGCATGGTCTTGGACGCTGGCTCACCTTTTTGTGTCATATCGAAAGACGCTTACAACAAACATGCTGCTTGGTGGCCTCCACTCAATCATTTTGTTCTGCTACCTAGGAAAGCTGCCGGTTGTGGGAGCCCTGCACCTACCAGTTAAACAGGGCTGCAAACAAGCCAACAGGTTCCTGTATGTGGTGGACTATCCCAGCCCACTCGGTCACGACATGATCCACGAGCTTCAGCTTCTCTCTACAGAACACGTCAACAGCCTGCAGCCCTTGGACATAAATGTGAATACAATGGTCAAGGCGGAAGAGAGACCTCTTGGATGGAGGTTTGATGAAGGGTCCCCCAGCACATCTTAACTTGCGGAAGGATGTCAAGTCAAAGTTGATGAAGGCACGCCCGCTGCCATTTGCACTGCACAACAAGGTGGCTGCAAAACTGGTTGTGCAACAGTGGAATCCTATCACCTCATTTTGACTGGGCTACCCCAGTGGTTCCCGTTACGAAAAAGGATGAAGGAATTTGCATTCGTGATGATTTCAAGGTGACAAGACTGCCTGTGATGTGGACCCCCTTCCACGGACTGGTTTTTAAAGCTGGATCTGCGAGATGCATTGTGCCATGTCGCCCTAGACCAGGAATTCAGAAAGGGCTTTACTGCTACAACCATCTTCCTTATGGCTTCGGCTCCTGCTCTGTTTCAGCAGAAGATGGAGAGCATCCTTTGGGGCATCCCAGGAGTCTTCCTGGACGACATCTGGTTGGAGAGGCACCCCAGGACTTTGGCGAGACTCTCTGGAAAGTGCTTGCCGCGTCCTAGGGAAATGGAAATCTTTTAAGTGCAGACAAGTGTGGATTTGGCTACGAGAAAGTTGTGTACTTGGGTCACTAGATTGGCAGAGATGGACTTGACCCATCAGAGCAGAAGCTCGAAGCCATCATGAAGGCCCCAGCACCACGAAACTTGCATAAGCTTCGCTCCTTCCTGGGATTCATGAGCTATTGCAAATGCTTGCTACCTCAATTGTCGCAGCTTCTATACCTGGTTTCAGCTTAAGTCCAGATGCCACCGACGCCACAATGTAAACCAAGCAGCATCAAAATGGCAAGTTACTAGGCCTCTTCTGTTTACAGTTGGTTCAGAACATGATTTGATGCTGTCTGATGGGTCCCATCAGCTTGTAGCATCGTCTGGGTCTGGACTTAAGGTGAAACAACTCCACTCTACAACTGTCTCCGACACAATGTCAAGTGGAGATGGGGACCCGAAGAAGATCTTGCATTCAACAGGGCAAAACAAACGCTGCTGCAGTCAAGTCTTCGGGTGCACTACGACGCCACTCAGGAACTGGTCCTAGAGTGCAGTGGCGTAGCCAGAAAGTTTTCCTTTTGGGGAAGGGGGGGGCTGAGGTGGCTGGGATGTCCATGACTTGGGGAGCGGAGAGGGGGAGGGGGGTTCGAAATGCATGTGTATATTATAGGGTCGGCTGGATTTCAGGGGGGGGGGGGGGGCCCGCTAGAATGCGACACATCCCCGGAGAGAGTTGGGCAGTGTTGTCCCATAACAGCGCAGGGAAAAATGACTAGCAACTGGAGAAAGGGGCTTTAGCACTCATATTCGGAGTAACCAAGTTTGGTGACTATCTGCTGGGTAGACACTTAAAACTGACCATGAACCCTTGGTGGGACAAAGAAAGCAGAGCCACTCCAGCCACCGCAGCTGCCAGAATACAGCGTTGGGCATTCACACTAGGAGCATACGACTACAACATCCAGTACAAGCCTGGTCAAGCAAACCAAAATATGTTGAGTCGTTTGCCACTCCCACACAACAAACCCAGACAGATGCAGCCAGAAACAGCAGCTTGCATGGAGTGTAAGCCATGGATGGACACCGGTCCTGTTTCCAAGAAGCGGCTGGAAGACCTACAACTAAAGATCCCGTTCTAGTAGTGCTTCGAGAGACAATCGGGAAAGGCTGGCCAAGGAAACTTAAAGATCCAGTCCTTCAACCCTTCTGGCAGCAGAGAGATAGCTTTGTCCTGGATGCTTTTCTCATCCGTAGGGGGAAGAGAGTGGTCATCCCTGAGAAGGCATGAGACACTTTCCATCAAGAGCTTCATGGCACACACATAAGTATCAACGCGACGAAAACACTCGCACGGTCAGTACTCCGGTGGCCAGGTATTGATCAAGCAATCGAAGATTCCCTGCAAACTTGTATAGTATGTCAACAGGCCAATGCTACCGGTGGGAGAACCACGAGCTTGACCTGCGACCACTACACCTTGGAGAAGAGTCCATGTGAATTACGCTGAACCTATTGAGGGTACCATGGTGCTCATCGTGGTTGACAGCTACTCTGGCTGGATTGAAGCACTACAGACACCGGCAGCAACTTCAGCAGCTACAGCTGAGCACCTGAGAAATCTCCTTGGCCATTTTGGACTCCCTGTTTGTCTTGTGTCCGACAATGGAACATCATTTACCAGATCACTGTTTACCAAAATTATATCCCGAAATAAAATCTGGCACCGAAGATCTGCATTTCAGTGTCCACAATTGAATGGTCTTGCGGAGAGAGCCATGAGAATGGCTAAGGATGCATTGATGAAAGAAAGCAATTTGGAGTTGGTGAACGTTGGGTGCCAAGAGTCACCGCCAGGGTATTGGGAAACCGTATAGCTTTAGTGAAGTCCCATCATGGCTCAATAACATGCCACATAGATCAGTTGTACCCTCAACATTAGAACTCGACCCTCGTGAATTGATTGGCCACCGTATCCTAGCATGTTCGGCAGTGTAACACTGGAGAATCTAGATGGGATACCCGTAACTAATCCTGCCCCACCAGGACGCCCTGTTTGTGTATGTAGAGCACCAATCCGAATGAACTTTTAGCTCGTGGTGGTGGGTTGGATTTGTCTGCCAGGGGGCCGGCATTTTCGTTTCCGGTGGACTTCCAGCGCAACTTGCCGCCACTCTTTGTTTTTCTTTCGACCATTAGCCATGATGTAACCCACAGCAGACAACAGAGTGCGTCGTCTACTCGCTGCGCCTATCGGGAGATGGCGCCTCAAGTAAATAGCGTCACAAACTCGGTCGTCTGGGAATGCGCCCTCCCTTGAATTGGTCAAGATTTTTGCTCTCATATTTTATAGGAAGAGAGCTTAATGTTGAAATTTCACACGGTCAAACTGACCTGCTCGGTGCCCGTTCGGTGAAAGTTCGAGCTTTCTACGTGCAAGGGGCAATTTTTCAGGCTTGTTTAACAGCGGAAGGTCCACTTGGGATACCCTCTACTAGTTGTTTCCTGACAGAGTACAAGCATGGGGGTGAAACCAGGGCCTCCAATTTGCCTTTCTCGAAGCACGTGACAAATCCGTGCCCGCCGCCTTTTTTTGTGACTGTTCCCCTTGGTTAGAGAGAGAAGGGAGAGGCTTGACGCATACATGGATGCCGCCTCGGACATTTGCTGGCTTACGGCCCGTGATGCACCACTCTGTCATCGCTGCTTGGTTTCTCCCCACAAGCCGGCTGAAACAAGGAGCACAAAAGGGATAATCTGCTTGCAAAAGAGTGGGACTTTTAAATGGGCCAATCAGGGCCCTGGATTTGGTACGTACTTGGTGAGCAGGTCCCACTCGGCTGCTACAGGTGCTGCTGCCTGAGCGGCTGGAGGGCGGGCTGCCCCAGACGCTGCCCCCGTGGCTGCCCGGTGGACTGGCGGGTGGCCTGGCCGAGTGGTATGTGCCGGACGGACGGGGCGGCCAGCGACTGCGGGCCCCTGTGGGGGAGTCGGCCCCCCTAGAGGCGGCCCTGCGGGAGGCCCTCTCGCCCCTCCAGCGGGCCCTCTACCTGACGTCCGGTGAGGCTGCCCTCGTTCGAGCGCTCACCTCGCGAGCTTTGTCGAACCACCTTTCATAACTACATGTTTGGAGGATGCACATTTCATCGACACTGCAATGTTTTGTGGAAACTTGTCTCGTGGACACATGAGTTTGCTTGCTGGAAGCATGCCCGAACTGAAGTAGGGCAAAGAGAAATTTGCGAGCCTTAATCCTAGACACCCCTCGCTCGAGGAAACTTTAATATAATCTCATGGAAACCGCCAAGGGTGTCTGCGGCGCTTTGGACGAAACGTTGCTAGGTGTGTCCATGAGACCTTTAGATGAAATGCCGATGAAAGGTAGTTGGATGAACTGATTGGCCCCACTGACCCTCGGGCAGTGCTGGAGGAAGAGGTGCGGGCGGCGGTGCTCTGTCCGGCCCAGCGGCCCCAGGATTGCGTGTGGCTGGAGCGGCGATGGACGCACCGGCCACGCCCGGACGGGGCCCCGCCTGCCGACGACGACGGGGCCCGCAGGTGAGCCTTCCGGGCACCTCGCTGTCTTTTGGAAGAAAGTGCGCTTTTTGTGCTGGCGTACTCTGCTAATCACACCTGTCCGTAACGCGGGACTGCACGGCTTCTCTTTCAAGCGCTGGTCTGGTGGCATTCGCGGCAACAGTGACCTGGGGCAAGATGGAACACCCCGCTCCATTGGGGGTCGCCGACATTCTCGACACGCTCGACGCTGGCTTGATAAGAGTTGTGGCGAATAATTCTAAAGGCATAGCATTCGAGTCTCTTTCAATGGCGACATTGTGGATAAACCATGTCGCTTTATTTTCTACAAAACTTGAAAGTATAAAACAGAGAGGACGAGGACGGGAACAGGACATCTTTCATCTTTTTATTTTCTATTGCCAGTGCTCTGACGTGAGGAGCATGATAGCAGCCTCCCGTGTTCCCCTGATCGAGCAGGCTGGTCCACGTTGCCCCAGCTGAGTTTCTGCCTATGGCACCAGTCGAGCACTGAAAGCTGTATGCTCCCGTGTTCTGGACAAGTGTGATTAGCACATTTGGAGCAAAACAATGGTCAACATACATACCATATTTACATGAGTGTAGGTCGACCCATTTTTCAATTTTTGATCATTTCAGGGGGGGGGGGGGGGGGGGGGGGTCGACTTATAATTGAACCAAAGCATTCCGCCACCGACAAAAATGAAACAATCGTGATATCAAGATCATCTCGGCTTATTACGAGTTCAGCCGGATGTACCTGTAGCATTGCGCCATTCTGTGCACTCATTCTATAAGAGCTTTTTTTTTTCTCTGCACAAGCGAGTACCACTGATAGCGATTCGCAAATCAGCCCAAATGTACGGTGGTGAACGGTGCACGGCACACCCGACTCCTGGGAGGGGTGGCACTTGATGTAAGAGCCACTCCGGAATGGCTGCTGGAACAGCCTCACTCCCTGCTGCTGCTTTTCACACGATTCATGGTTGCACGTTGTTTGATCGATTGTCGAGGTCATGCTAGAGTGCCAACTACGTTCCTCTGTAGTGACAGGCGTGATCCAGGTAGTTTACGTTTTTGTATGGCCATTTTTTCAAAAGCAACCAACAACTGCGCAGCTGGACGCAAGTTTGACCAGTCAGAGTGGGTGGTGTTCGAGTGGCGTCTGCAACGGCGCAGGATCTTAACTGTGACAGCAAACTAAGAGGCTTCCACGGGACAAAGTCTGGATAAGGTCTGCATGCTTTCTGGAGTTGGAGGTCGAGCTTGCAACGTACGTCGCAGAAGATGCGGTTGATGCGGTCATTTGCAAAGTGCGAGATTTCTTTGGACGACGACGTGCCTTGAGAAGGCAGCTGTGACAACGACGGGAAGGACATCACGAGTGCAGACGAATGGTTGTCGCAGACAGAGTGAGAATGACAGGGAGCAGTTTGGATAGCGATTGGGCATCTTGTGCACACGTGCATGCGCAGCCAAAGCACCCTGGATGCCAGGCTTTCGAAAGAGACATCTGCCATTCTCATATGTTCACCATGCAATGCATCCCCAAAGTATAACTTTTATTTTTATTTTTTGCTGACGTGCATGGGGGGGGGGGGGGTTGACTTACAATCATTTGTGTTTAAACCCAAGACTGGGAAGGAAGATATATTAGAAGAGAGGTGACAGGCAAGCATCTCAAACTCGGCTAACAAAATTTATTTCATACAACGCTTTAATATTCTTCAAGTTTCCCTCCCAGGCTCAGGGGTTGAACATCACGATTTTCATTTGTAGCGGCGTACCAGCGAGCCTGCCCCGCACTGGATGCTTTGTCTGGCACTGTACGCAGATCTTGTCGACACCGTATTTGTGGCCCGTTGTGTGTCTGCCACACTCCAGGGAATAAGTGGCAGTTCGAAAGTACTTGCCCACTGCCCTCATAAAACTTTCATGTAGCCTGATGGCGACGTTCGTAAACCCAAGTGCCCAATTTCACAGCAGCTATTGTCATGTGTTAACTTCTGGTCTTCGTTCAGATCAGAAGGAAGAAAAAAGGTACAGTGTAATCCACTTATAACGATACCAGATATAACGATATATCGCTTATAGCGATCAAATTTTTTAGATTTGATCGCTATTTTTTTAGATTTGATTTGATCCAGATATAACGATAATCGGCTATAACGATTGGATTTTGCGGTTTTCTCAATATCGTTATAAGTGGACTGCACTGTACTCGCATTGGTAGAAAGAAGATAAAAGTAACGTCTTAATACTTAAGCGGTTGGGGTGGCCACACAGGCTGTGGTTTCGTTCATGATCGCCACACAGGCATTCCAGTCTCACGTGCGCGTGCACACACAGTGCTCCGGCTCACGAGGTCTCGTCGTCGTCTTTTTTTCTTTAAGGGGTCGCTTACTTGTGGGAAGTCTACACATGTGGGCGGAAAGTGACCGTGGATGATACGAAAGCCATAAAAAGGACAGCTTTCTGAAGCTTTACTCCCGTAATCTTTCTTATCTGCGCTTCAAAATATGCCGAAAAGCAGGAGCAGAGGCGCAAACGTGGAGGATAGGGATGGCGGGGACGCCGACGGCGAAGACGCAGAGTGTGCACCACCCTGCGTTCGGTGCGCCTCGAAAAAGGATTGTGGCTACTACGCTAACATTTTTTTAAATCTTCTGTATTGAAATATTTTGGTCTGCATAAGGGGGTGCCACGCAATTACTGTAAAACCCTTAATGTTCGCAAGCCCTCAATTTTCGCGAATTTCACGAATTGAAGAATTCGCGAAATTTAAGGGTGCGCGAAAATTTCGGTCTTTAAAATTTTCAATGCAGGCGTCTGGAATTCGCGAAATTTAGTGGTCGCGATTATGTCATCTGTGACCGATTCGCGAAAAATGGGGGCCGCGAAAATAAAGGGTTTTACAGTATATGGCCATCAGATTACACAAGTCGGCAGAAACCTTAAATAGACGGCAATCAACGTGAACTCAAACATGCTAAAAGGTCTTATAGGGCCCCTGAAAAGAAAGAAAAAGTTTTTTTATTAAACAGTCTGGTTGGGACATGTGTGTCAAAAAAACAAATTTTATTTAAAAAAAATTTTTTTAGAGCAATATTGACGGCCGAGACACAATTTAGTTGGTAGTCACCTCCTTTCACTTGTTTTCTCTCTAAACGTTTCGGGTGCATGGAGGAGAGGTGGATTGGCTTGGCCATCACGTTGAGGTAGAGGAGAGTGTATGACCACCTTTGTTGAGGTGGAAAGAGTCTATGACCATTCCGTAACGTCATGGACCTTGCACGCCGAATTTAAAATAAATTTCGCACTGTCAATATTGCCTTAAAAATTTTTTTTTTTTTTTTTTTTTGCGTAAAATTAATTTTTTGACATCTGTGTCCCAACCAGACTGTTTGCCAAAAAAGCTAAAAGGTAGCGGCATATTTATGTTGCAAAGACAAGTTTTTATTTAGGAGCGATTCAGAACTCTCGCTGGTGTTTGGAGACGTTGAGCCCGGAACGTGTATAGAGAAAAGCCATGGGGCGAATGTGGGGCCCGAGTGGCCTCTTTGAAGCACGTGACAGATGCGCACCCGCTGGCGACTGGACACGCCTGGCGGCAGCGCCTCTCTTTTGTGACGTGTTAACCTGGTTTATGTCGTAGAGAGAGGGGCTCATTTACACGGATGCCGCCTGGGAGATGTTGTTGCCATCAACGCTGCTTGGTTCGCTGTTATGAGCCGCCAAGGAGTGCGGGTCTTCTGCCTGTGAAAGAGCGGGACATTGAAGTAGGCCGTGCCCTGGATTTGCTCGGCGAGGAACGTTCAATACGGGAGCCGATTTAGGCTGGTCTGAAGACGAACGGGGTGCCCCATGTGCCCAGGTTTGGGGCCCTGCGCGGGGAGCTGGAAGACCGGCTGCCTGAGGCCCACAAGCTGGTGGTTCGAGCCCGCTGGGGGGAAGCCGAAGAGGCCTCGTACCTGGCAGAGGTGGGCTCCCTGTTGGAGCGTGCCCTGGGGGCTCTGGTAGATGGGGCGGCAGAAGCAGACGCCGCTCAGGAGGCGGGGCGTCCCTGCGGGGGCCTCGAGCGGGCCCTGGCCCTGGAGTTGTGTCAGCAGGGGGCCTGGGCACGGAGTCTGGCCCAAGACTTTGTCGGCCGCTCTGAGTCCCTGTCCCGGCTGGAGCGCTACGTGCGATCGGGGGGCGGCCGGCCCCTGGTGGTCCACGGGCCCTCTGGAGTAGGCAAGAGCGCCCTGGTGGCCCGGGCGGCCTCCCTGTGCGCAGACTGGCTGCCCGGCGCGCCCGTGGTGGCCCGATTTGTGGGCGCCGTGCCGGCTTCGCCTGACCGGCTGCTGTGCTCGCTCTGCGAGCACGTGTGTGCCCTGAGCGGCGTGCACCCGGCCGAGGCGTCGCGGAGCGGAGCGGACCGCCGGGCCCTGCTGGGGAGCCTGCTCGGCCGCTCGGAGCGGCCACTGGTGCTGGTGCTGGATGGGCTGGACCAGCTGGAGGGCGACTGGGACTGGCTGCCCGCCCGGCTGCCTCCCCACGTGCGCCTGCTGCTCACGCTGCGGGACGGCTGCCCCCAGCTGGTGCGGGTGGGACGCCAGTCCTTTTCGGGGACATACTTTGTTTTGGACGCGCCGAGACTGCCGCGGAGAATTTCTGCTTTTGTCGGGACGTGGGTCGACTCGGTCTTACAACCGTGGCTTTCAATTTGGAAGCCACAGTTGTCAAGCCCGCCCTGAAGGAATCCCTGCAGGGCAGACTTGACACACTTTTACCGACCCAGAGAATTTCTAAAATGTCCACGATGAATTTGGAGGGTTTTCACACGCAAATCTAACTATGGACAGCAGATGCTTCGACATGATGTTCGTCGACTCTTAAAGGTCCGCCGTTTTGTTTATAGTCTTCAATTTGGCTGGTAATTGGCAGGCTGTGTCAATAGCCCTTTCTCAACTCATAGCCAAAATATTTTATAAATATAAAATTTTTCCGCAGAGGTATGGAATTTTGAAGTTACGGCGGCCTTGAGGGTTCCAGGAGGTGACTCTCTATTGGAAACCATGCAAAATTCCTATTTTTCATTGCCCGTAACGTCACCGGCGGGCAGGCTGACGAGCGACTCGGGCAGCCGCGAAGTGCCTCTCCGGGCGCCAGCGATTGAAATTATTTTCTCACAGTATCAAGGTTTAAAGTTCCTTTGCAATGGGTAGCAATTTGTGCTCCGCAATATATTGTAGGAACAGTGCTGGGAAAAGCTTCTTTTCAATGCGTTAGCATTAGTACACTTGTTTTGACAAAAACCTGGCGGTGTCTTTTGTTTGTCTGTTGTCGCATGTGATGCTCCAATAGGTTCAAAGTGCTGACAGAAGCACACATCAACCTCTCCCCGACACTGACAAACTGACAGACACTGCCTTGTTTTCGTCAAAACGAGCCCTTTCATTTTTGCCAAAGTCACGCGCACAGCTGGCACAGAGCCGGAGAGGAGGAGGCGCCACGGAACTTTTCCTAGATAATAAAGCCAAAGCGCTGAATGAGATGGCGTTTGCAATCTGGACACAGATTGCAAACGAGTGCCGCGTCAGCGCTCGGCTTTGAGTCAAGTTTGAGTCTAACACTGATGCAATCGTCGTGTGCAATCTGTGCCAAGCTTTGGCCTTCGCTGATTATGCATCTCATTCAGCATTACGGCTTTGTTATCTCGGAGGTGTTACGTTGCAGCGCGGTGGAATGCGGGCGTGCTCAGTTGCCGCTCTGCTATCGACGGTTGTTCTTCGCTCTGGGTTTTCGTAGTAGCGGTGCGTGGGCTGTGATGTGTGTGTGTAGTTAAAATGATGGTTGCGGTTCACTTAACGAGTGATTTGTATGCGATTCTTTCCACGAGTGGTATGGATGTGGTTCTTTCCACGAGTGACATGGATAACCGCATCCAAGGGCGTCGACATACCCTGACTGGCAGAGTACAAAAAAGGGGGCGAAAAAAATTACAGGAACAATTGGTGGATTCTTGGGGAATCCGTTAGCACGACCTTTGGGAAACGCCATACACGTCCCTCTTTGGGAAACGCTAATACTGACCCCATAACGAGGTGGAAAAGAGGCAGCGAAAAATAGAGGAAGCAAAAGAGAGTCAAAAGAAAAAAGTGAAGGGGTCAGCGTTTCCCGAAGGGGGCCATGCGTGGCGTTTCTAAGGGTCATGCTTGCGCATTCCCCAAAAAAAACGCCAATGGATTTTCCTGTATTTTTTTTTACCCTTATTTTCATGAGAGTAAAAAAAATGCGCTCCCCAGCCAGCAGCAGTGGAGGCCAGCCATGTCAAGGTGCTTTTGCACGAGCTGTGCGCCGAGAGACGTCATGTGAAACATTCTCACTTATGCTCGGAATACTCTATGGCCGCGTGCTGCGAGTTGAGTAGTTGAGTATCCTTCTGGGGGCTGGGGCTGGGACAGCTTCAAGAGCGGCGAGCGCAGACTCGAGCCGGCTTTGACCACTACAACATCGGTCCAAAAAGGAGCGCTAATAATATTGAGGAAAATGGTGCACATTCTAACATTATAGTCGACATTTGGCACAGTCACATTTGTCTTCAGTGATTTTTTTTTTTTTTATAAACACTATATTTGTTTTGGACATGAATCTAGCTTGGGCTATTCTTGGAGTTCCACTCACACAGCCGATCTGTTGAAGACGAGAGCCGAAACGTCTAAACAAAGTTCAAGTCTGAGTTTAGACAGGACTTTTGACCCTTTGCTCTTCGTGTCTGGTATTAGAGGTTTATGGAGCAGGTGTTAAAGGGAAACTCCGCTTCATTCTCGGTTGTTACCAAACACTGCGACTCTCTTTAGTGTCATCTAGAGAGACCGAATGTCAAATATTATAACGTAATACCGCCTAAAAGATCACTAAACCGGCCGACAAAAACTGAGACGCGCGAAGTCAGCAAAATCCGCTAACTTAGCGGGCGACGTGCGGCGCAGCCAACGTTGTATTTCCGTTGTGGCTGACGTTTGTTGCATACGCAGTTTTTTTCTTGGTATTTTCTTTTCCAGGGAGAGCTTACCGGGCGGCGCTACGGACGTGCTCCACGTTTGAGCAAGCAAAGAGGCGAGCCTACTACAATAGAGATCAGTGGGCGAGACAGACAAAAAAAAAAAAAAAAATAAACGAGAACAAGAGAAACAAAAAGAGGAAGAGAGGGTTGTACGGGATGAGTTTCGCTGACACACCTGCCAACCGGTGCCAACCGACTAGCCGCCTGGGTTGCCGCCTACATAGCCTGCTTCGTTGCTGCTTGCGTTGCCTGTTCGCCGCCGCGGCTAGGCTTGCCCTCCCTCCTCCCTCCTCCCTCCTCGCCCTTCCCCTCGCATGCGCGTCTTTCTTGGGTTACGGCTAGTAGATCACGTGACCCCTTGTATTCCACGTGGGTGCGTATGCAACTGACGTTGAGAGTAGAATGTTGCCCGGCTGCGCCGAAGTTTCAGTTTCGGTTTGCGATTGTGGTAAATAACAAGATCGCACGAAAAATATTTTGCTTTTAATGAAACTAACTGTCTAGAGTTGTTTTGAAGTACTTTTCACGTTTATATCACCCACTATCTCAAAATTTCCGAAATCAAGCGGAGTTGCCCTTTAAGCTTCATTAGTATACGATAGAGCCGTTGTGTGGTTTCTCTTTAAATGGCTGGTGTGCAATATTCTCTCGCAGAAGAAATGGTGAAAAGTATTAATTTAATTCTATTGCGGAGAAATGTTGTATAATGCTGGAAAGGTTTTAAAACCATGAAAATATTCATATCATTGAGGGAATGCATGTAAATTTACAGCTGATGGAAACTGCAAAACCAAAACTTAAAAAGAAAAAAAAAAAAAATTTAGAATGACCTCTTTCCCATGTGCGCTCGTGGACGAGTGTTCGAGCCCGTTACATTCTACTCCAACAATAACAAAAAAGAAAAATTGGTACGATTCTTTTTTGTAACTTTTGTTAACTTGTTTTGAATTAAAAATTTTATGATGCATTTCTGTATTTTCCACTCTATTGTATCTTTAAGCAAATATCCTTTATTCGAAGATGAATGGTGGATTTACATATTTTGTATGCCTTTCATTGCACCTTGATGTTTGGCTTGGTGGTTGCAAAGTTCTTTTAATTGTCATTTAGCACAATCTTCATGAGCAGTAACCTGTCATCTGGCCTACACGCATTGCAGTTCATTCCATTCTATAGATTTCATTGTTTACGAGAATCACAGTCTACATGTGTTAGGCCACAGCCCAACACGCGTATCTTTGCCGCTTTGGAAGGTGAGCAAAGTACTTGCCACACGCATAAATGCTGAAAATGGCACCGACCAGAGGTGCTTCTCTGGATTCGTCTGTAGAACTTTTGCTAAGTTACTTAAGCACCAAAGAGCATATGCATGCTACAAGAGTAATTACTGACATTTGCAGCAGTAATTTTCCTGAAGAAAATCTAAAACGACTGGCACATTCCTTCAGGTAAGACAAGCATGTGTGGCACTTGTACCAACATTCCGAGCATACTCCATGGTTCTTGGGTAGGTTGTCAAAGAATGTATTGCATAACTCTTTGGCTTTTCTTTGCCAGTGGAAATGCCAGCTTCTGATAGAAGGAGAACGGATTTGCTAGCCATTTCACGAAACTAGCAAGCCGTGGTTTGAGCGTAACGAGTTGCAGACACGGTTTTTTTCAAGATCATGATTGTTTTCCGTTTTTTTACCAGTTCAGCACGTAGGCCCAGGCCATACTTAGTGCAACTAGAGATTATTATGAACTTGAGATAGCACTAACGCCCCTGTTTTCCTGCTGTTCGACGCAAGAAAGGCGGGCGCGAGCGTACCTGATTGCTGGCCGCGCGTCTCGCTGCCAGCGGGTGACGTCACGTTTGGATGGCGGAGAAAACTGGGGAGAACGATGTATTGGTTTTGGCAGCGTACAAAATATCACTTTTTTAAGGGGGGACATGAGTCCTGTGGGAAATCGCGTACCGCCGCCGATTCGCCGTTTCCCACGTGGTCCGTCAACAACCCGAGTCCAGCCTGGTTCTTTCACGGGAGCGGGATTCCGCTCCCAGTTTATTGGTACAATAACACACAACGCTACAAAACACTCAGTCTAGAATACAAATACAAGCTACATTACACAAATATTTACAACAGCACGTTAAGCCCAACGCTAAACACAAAGAAGGCCTTAGGCCTCGCGTCCCGCGATATCCTAGATCCGGTCGCCACCCACTTGCCTGCCTGCGTCTCGGTCTCGTCCGGAGTTCTTAGAGGCCTCTCGCCCCCTGCCCCACCGAGTATATCTATCGATGGGCGAGGAGGTTTCTCCTCGCCTGCCACGGGGGCGCCTGCAGCGCCCTCCAGTGGCTAGGAGAGAAAGCGGCGCGTCGGGAGCCGAATTCGAGATCCCGATCGACCCCGCGGCAACACGACCATGTGATCGTGTCGCGGCCAAGATTGGCCGAATGGTTTGATGGGCGCCCTCGTGAATTCACAGTGCGCCATAGTTCTTGGAGCCAAAAACGTCCTAAAACCGTATTCTTTTGAAAATGGCGATGGCTGTTGTTCTTCTGAATTTACCAGGCTTCTAATTTTGTGGGTGAATATTTGGGCTATAAATCAACTAATAATGCCTATGCGGGCTGAATGTGAGTTGAAGTTGACTGTAAAACATTGTTTTCACAAGACACAATTTTTGGACTCTTGAAAAATTTGCAGGAGGGATATCTCAGCATCCAGAGCAGATAGAAATATAACCTTTCCTGAAATGTGTAGCTAAATGTGTGAAGCATACAATGTTGAGAGCAGATTTTCTAATAAAACTCTAGAAATGTTTTTATTTTATCTTTTGTTTTATTACTTGTTAGCCATGTATTGAGCACTGAACTTCAATGTGTGGTAAAATCACTAATAGTGGGTTTATCTTAAAAGTACTTCCAACATTGTATGCTCTACACTTTCTAGTATCTAGCCATGTGTCAAAAAGGATATTTTGTTGAGCAGTTTTTTTCCTATCGTTCCTCCAAACAAAGGCAGGCAAGTTTTAATTACCTTGAGGACAATTCTCCTGACTGAGAAAACGACCCGCTATATGAAATCAGCGCAAAAAGCTGAACAAGCTTATGCAGTTTCACTGAGTTTGGTCACAGAATAAGAAAAAAAGCTCCAAGACCAAATTCACTCTAAAGTGAATCTGGAGGAAGGAGATAGCATTTCGGAATCAGGAAGCCATCTGCATTCAGGTGATGCCTTTGGATTACGTAGCTAAAAGAAATCGGCAGAGTTCCTTTAAATCACCTTAAAGCAGTAGCATAGATCTAGGCAAAATTTTTCCAAAAATTTTTGTTGCTTATTTTTGGAAAACATTTTGAAATGTATAGTAATTGAACCATTTTTGTTGTTTTTGGTTCCAGTATTAATTTGCTACTGTTACTTTGATTAGCGTATGACTGAGTATTTTTGGTTACCATCCATTGTACAGACTGCTCCCCAACTGCCTAGGGTTTGGAGGAAGCTCTTCTTTCCCCACCATTTGTACAAATGGAAAGTGAACAATATGATTGAAAGGAGCCGCATACTGTTGCTTCCTTGGTCAGGCAGTCCAGTGCCGTCTCATCCGAGCTAGTTTTGTGGGGAGGCCAGGGTTGCAAGAGGGGGCTCCCCGCAGGACGAGCTGGAGCCCGAGTGCCTGCTGGCCCTGGGGCCGCTACCAGGCCCCGAGATGGAGGCCATCGTGCGGGCCGCCCTGGAGCGGAGGGGCTGCGTCCTCAACCCCGAGCAGTGGACGCTTGTGGCGGCCTGCTTGGAACACAGTCCGCTGCAGGCGCGCCTCCTGGCCGCCCTGGCGGAGCGCTGGGGCCCCGACGACCAGCCCCCCGGGGATACCACGCTGGGTGGCCTGGCGGCGGAGGCGGTGAGGCTGGCAGAGCGCGCGGTCGGGCCCCGGCTGGTGCCCTTCGTACTAGGGCTGCTGTCCGTGGCCCGCCACGGTCTCTCGGATGCCGAGGTACTGGACGCGCTGTCCCGACACCCGGCCACATTCGAGGCCTGCCCGCACCTGGACGGCAGCCCAGCGCGCTGCCCACCTGGCCTGTGGGCGCTAGTGCGCACTGTGCTGCGGCCCTTCCTGCGCACGCGCGTGGTGGCGGGCCGCGCACTGCACACGTGGCGCGGCGAGGCCCACCGATCCCTGCTGTGCGAGGGGCGCCTGGACGCCGACACAATGCGGGGCTGCGCGCTCGCCCTTGTGGCGCTCTTCTCGGAGGGCCGGGACGCGCGCAGCCTGGTGGAGCTGCCTTGGATCGCGCTCGGACTCGCGCGGCGGGGGGACGGGGCTGCCTTGGGGGCTGCCCTGGGTGCCCCGGGGCAACCCCCGAGCGCCCTGGTGCGGGAGCGCTTCCTACTGGACGCTGGCTGGCTGCGGGACAAGGCAACGGCGGCCGAGCCCTGGCTGCTCCTCGAGGAGCTGCGGACCTACCTTTCCCTGGAGCCCTCGGACGCCGAGTGCTGCCTGCTGGCCGAGACCCTGGAGCTCGCGGCGTACGCCCTGCGCTACGACGGCCGCCAGCTGGCGGCGCAGCTATGGGCCCGACTGCGGCGACGGCTAGAACAGGGTGACCTGCCCCGGCTGGAGGCCCTCTGTGCAGCCCTTAGAGCGGCGGGACCCGGGCTGGAGCCCCGCAGCGCCCACCTGAGGGAGCCCGGGGCCCAGACTTGGGTAATTTAACAGAGCCAATTACCCAAATTCCTTTTTTATAAAGTAGTGGCACTTTTCCACAAGATCACCAAGTTTATTACAGAACGTGCAAGCAAAGTTGGCGCAAGGCAACACTCAAAAAGCCACATGATTTCATGACTGTACCCAATCAATGTGTTGCTACTGCGAAAAGTAATGACAAAAGTTACAATGTTAATTCAGGGAAAGTAATTCTACTACAGTGACAAGTTACACCTTGGAAAGGTAGCGTTTTACAGTGACAAGTTACCAAAAAAATGCCTCTACGAAATTTCACAGGGAATCTGACTTGGTACAATTGGTCATGAGACGTCAATTTTCTCGCTAAACTTGGTGGGGGAATCGAATCGGTCTGTAGCTCTTTTCGGGTCACATGGGATCATTTTCCCGTTCAGTTTAGCGGGGAAACTGATTTGGTGTATATATCACGTCAGTTTTCCCGCTAGCAGGGAAACTGAATTGATGTATAGGTCACGTGCCGTCAGTTTCCCATAGGGTGTGTAGGTGACGTTAGGTCAAGTGACGTCAGCCTCCCCGCTGAATTTAGCGGTAAATGCTCGGACGTCCAAAATGTTGGAATTGGGGGTTAGGTTAAAAGGCATTTGATGCTTTAAAAATTAAGGAAGTTATCGCGTTCCTATCCAAGACTGGCCCCTGTGCGCCCTCGGACGAGGGACCCTGCCTGGGCCGCCTGTACACGATCCGGGGTGACGCGGCCCACATGGTGTCACTGGACCGGGCCGACCTGCGGGTGTGGGACGTGCGGGCGGAGCGGGTGGTGCGCCATTTGGCGGGCCTGCCCCAGCCCCGCGACCTCCAGATGGTGGACCCCTTCCGGGCCCTGGTGCTGTGCGACCGGGAGCTGCGCGTCTACTCGCTGGACGAGGGACGCCTCCTGGTGCGCCTCAAGGGTGTCATGAACCAGAAGATGGCCTACTTCGGCCTGCACGGCCGGGACTACGCCGTGGCTCTCTCACGCAATCGCATGTACGTCAACATGCTGAGCCTGGACAGCGGCGACCTGGAGACCACCTTCAAGGTCGGCGAGGACAGGTACCTTTCTTTCACACACCTTTTTGGATTCGAATATCTTTTCTGATGGGACGGTCACATTCCATAGAAATTGACTTTTTTTAGACTTGTTGACGAGTTTCCTGTCAAACGCATTGCTAAAATGGCCACCATGTGTCTAGGGAAGCTCCTCTCACCTCCTTGCACTTTTCCAGAACCCTGGGGAGGAGTCCTCTCCAGCTCCGCTAAAGGGGAAAGAGCTGGGAGGAACTTCCCCTCCATGCATTCCTTTAACCTTACACAGCTGTGGAAGCCATATTAGGTGAAACAAAAAAACTTGAGTAAAGCAATCTTCTAGCAGGGCACGCACCTAGGGGCACATTTCAATACTGTGCATATCGTGCAATACCGAGCATCTGCCCATTCCACAATAAGTGCCCACCCCTCGATTTTGTAACATTCAGACAATACACGAAAAACATATCTTCACATATTGTTAACCTAAGGAGCTGGGTGCTCCTTAGGTCCCCCAATTTTACGTAACTATCCAAAAATTTTGAGTGGGCAGTCGTTTGGAATTTTACGGTAATATGGTTTATTTGCCTACTCATGGGAATTATTCACTATTGATAACATTGCAAATGCCAAAGATAGCTTTTACACACGGCGTAGCACAGAAGTATCCACGCATGCAGGCTTGGTGTAGAAAAGAAGAATGGCAAAGTATCACCAGAAAAGCTTTACGGTCAAACCCTTTTATAATGGAGTCTGCGGTCCCGGCGCAAATTTTTCGTAGTATAGACCTTTCCAACGGCAGTCTCGAACGAAGCGATTTACAGCATGCGTCCCTGGTTTTGAGAGGGTACGTCAGTGTTGCCCGACTGCGCTGAGCTGTGGGTTTTCTAGTCAGGGGACTGTGGCAGCCTGCGTAGAAGCACTTCCGGACGCTGGTGGAGGCTAAATTGCCGCGTTATATTTTTTATTTTGTGTTCTATGGTGAACATAATGTCTAGGGGTTTTTAGGAATGCATTATATTATTTTTGGGAACCAAAACAAAGAAATGAAAGCTGTTTTCGTGAGTCCGTGCGCTACTCAACAAATGCAACTGGAATGTTTGGTACATTTTACGTTGATCATTTTACGGCAACATACACTCAGTCATGTCAAACTACAAAGGTCTTAACCGTCAAAAATATTTCACCACATAGGATATCCAAACTGCATGGATATTCTCCGCCCACAACATGAACCGTTCAACAAGTCTCATCAATGGAACAACATATATTGTACGTACCCCACGGTGCCGCGTTATCCGAACAGGAATTGAGAAAGGTCTCAAATAGCGCAGCATATCCAATATACACTGTCGACGATAGTCACTTCACGACGATCGGACGGAATCCGGGGTGCTTTGGGGCACATGTAGAAGAGAGCCGCTTTTTTGCACAGTTTCAGAGCAAATGAAGGAGCGTGTCTATTCCGTTCCCACACCCCGGACCCGACCCTATCAGCTATTTTTCGCGAAGACCCGGAACATAGCCGGGAAGGCTTTTTGGAGATTATCTCAACGGAAATAATCCTCCAAGAACGTCGAACTGTCCGCGTCGTGGGCTGCTTGACGGTCGCTCGCTTCGTTCGCTCTCTGCGAAGGCCGAGCTGGCTACGAGCCCTGGAATTCCCTGGTTTTTGTAGTGAAAGATAACACACAAAGGGTAAGTATCCTAAACAGGCGAAAAAAGTAAAAACTTCCAAGAAAAGCCGGCGAACTCCGAATGCAAAATGCAGGTGGGGAGTCACGCTGACCGGGTTTCCACAGCTCAGGCAGGTGCCAGAAATTTCTGGCTGATAGGGGTCGCTCGATTCGCAAAATGGCGGCTGCCAGAGAGCACTTTTTGCAAAGGTCTATAGGTAATTTTGTTATACAGTTAAACCTCGATGTAACAAAATCGGTAAAATTCGCAATTTACTTCGTTACATTGAAATTTCGCTAAATCGAAATTTGGCTTTAGCATGCAAAAAAAAATTCCGAAACATTTTACGGGTATGAAAACTCACCGAAAATGACATTTATTTAGGGGCAAAGTAGTCCGCGAGTTTTGCTTGAGCCTTGTCCGACAGTAGCAGCGGCGTCATACGGCGTTTGACGGCCCACAGCGCTTGCACGGCATCTTGGTGCCCATGCGACGCCGTGTACCTCCTCGGCACGTCCATTGCGTCGAGCACTTCCCGAGTGCTCGTGATCTCGGCAGTTTCTTCAGGATGGCGTCCAAAACGTTTCTTTCTCATCCAAAGAAAGAACTTTACGTTTCCTTACGGCAGCAAGCACGTGAGTGAACCGCCCGGTTAAAAAATAAAGCTGTTTAGTTTAGGCGGTGGCAATGTTTCCAACCTATGCAGCACTCTTGACCGCACAGTTTAATCAGTTTACTTGCCCCCTTCCGCCCACACTGTGCTTGTGCTTTTGCTTTACATCACGCTCGCAAGACGATAATCGGTCTTCTCGGTCTTCTCCTAAATGGCACTGCCCGTGCGGTCGCGCGGTCGCGCCATCACGTCGCCAACGTCGCTCCCCCGCTGAAGTTGGCTCCCGCGGTACAGTGGACTATGATGATCAGTGAATGTCAGTGGTGATGCTGTTATGCCGCGTTAACTTTTTGCTCGGCATTTTCTGGCCAGCCCCGCGGAATCCGCTTTGCCGCTTGCCTCGCCGGCGCTACCGGCGCCGCATCCTCGGGCAGCCTAGGAACGTTGGAAGGCCTGTCCCCGTGAAGTAACCTATCAAGCCCTCGCGTTTGCGCATAATTTTCTTTTTAACCACAATTTTTTTGCGAAGTTGTTTTTTAGAGTCTATTTATTTATTGCCTTCTATGGCAATGGCGCTTCGTTATATTGAAATAGCAGCAAAATAGACTTCGTTATATAGAGACTAAAAATACATGGGGTCTATGGGCAAGAAATTATGAAAAATAAAATACTTCGTTAAATCGAGGATTTCGTTACATTGAAGTTCGTTATATCGAGGTTCGACTGTAGTACAGCTGAACCCATTTATAAGAAACTCCGTTGGACGCACATTTTAGTTCGATATATACTGTAAATCGCTATATCGAAACCAGGCCTACCACAAATTTTAATGCCGGGCTTCATAATGAACAATTATTTTCTTGACACTACGGTAAACACGCATTAACATATTCTTTAGCAGGCCGCGAAAAACATTTATGACTTGTGAAAACGTAACTGATAACGCTTTTGGCGGGCAAACAGCTGGAACCAAAAGTAACTTTTGAACTGTATTCTGCGAGGACGTTTACAGAATCGGAGCACCCAGGCATGTGTGGAAAGAAAAGTCTTTTACCATTTTAGCATATTGCGAAGCCTTTTCGTCTGGCCTTACATCCACGATCTGCAGTATGGCAATCAAGTCCTTGAAACAAATGTGATTTTGCTCCCGTAAAGTCAGAGTCTAAACAAAACCAGCGGAACCGTACAGAGACAAAAAAGAGAGCTGCGCAGAGCAGCTGAGCCGCAGCGAGGATTGATGGTTGCATGCGAATGCTGCCGTCTATCCAGCTACGAATGCCCCATGATCACAGGCAGAAGTTTGATGATCGCTAAAGTCTGTACTTTGCGCCAAGGAATCATTTCCAGTTTGTCAAAGAACGACAAAGACGGTTTCCATTTCCTGCTCGAACCAATCGGCACGTAAAAGTCAAGTGAAGAAGAGAGCTGACAAACAAAACATAGCAGGCGGTGGCTAGGAAGCAGCTGACGCGGTTTCTGAAAGAGCACCTGGCAAGGAGAAAAACAAACTTGTGCTGGATGCCTTTCGGTGTCACCTTGCAAACTTGGTTAAAAAACTGCTGCAAGAATCTGGTACTGAGCTTGACGTGATTCCGGGAGGCATGGCGTCTCGGTTACAACCGCTGGATGTCTGCATCAATGAGTCATTTAAAGACCGTGTGAAACGGTGCTACATGAAGTGGATGCGGTCAAAGGAGCCTGCGGTGACTCCCTCTGGACGGCTTAAAGGGGCGACGCAACAATAATAACTTGGAAACAATTTGCAGTTTGTGGGATTCGACTTACCTTACTGCACCATGAGGTCAATCCCCCTCCGTAGCTGGATGTTGAGGACTGCTACGGCCGGGTCCGTCCGGTGGCTGCCGTGGGCTCTAAGGAGAGGAATCACTCCGAAACGCAAAGATCCAAGGCCGGAAATTGACCTGGTCGCCGGGTGTTGGAAAGGATTTGGAGTAAAGTGTGTACTTGTGAGGCTTCTCCTTTGAGTGCGTCATTCGGTGGTAGTATAGGTTTGACAATGGGCACAGCGTGGTGGCACAGGAGCCAAGTAAACCCGCTTCTTCAGAATCTTTGTGTTTCGGAGTGATTCCTCCCCTCGGAGCCCACGCTAGCCTTCGGATGGACCCGGCCGTAGCAGTCCTCAACATCCAGCTATGGAGTGGGATCGACCTCGTGGTGCAGTAAGGTAATAGCGAGTTTGTTTCACGGCACTCGTACCCAAGTGTGCCCACTCGCAACGCAGAGCGAGTTCCTTTCGGCCAGCACTCCACGAGTTGTTGCACTCTCCGAGTTTGTTTCAGCGCCGACACCCCACGCGTGCATGCACTTTCTGCACCGAGAAAATCGAGCGTGCGCCAAACTGCAATTCCGTCATGCCCCGCTCTGGCAAGGAGTGGGAGCAGACAACGAGGAGTTGTTTGCTACGATGTGTCATTCGTACAGCGGAACCGAAAGGAAAAAAAAGTAGATTTTCTGCTAGAAATCGGGTCCCGCAGGCAACGCAATCAAACGCGAGCTTGAACTGTGAGCATCTGCTATTTCACGAAGGAAGCAATTGACAACCCATGCTTTATTTGCAAGTTTTAAGTCGCTCTGTTGCCGTACAGACGCTGAAATATACCAGTGTGTAAAGAAATGCTCAGAACAAACGCATCAGCGGCCCCCGAGATCTTTATCACGATCCGTGTGCTGGTAAAAAATTGAACATTTGTCGACAAAAATCCCCCAGCAGAAATCTGTGACTGCCCAATAAGCATCTGAGAAAGCTGAACATAGTGACTTTACCCGAAGCTTGGGCAGCATCCTCATGTTTGACATTTACCTACGTCAGCTATCTTGCCTCGTCGTATTTTGTTTAAGAAAGCTCTCGTTCTCGACGCCCTCACCAATACTAATATCTGATCCACCTGTAACTACGATCGAAATCGAAAGTCCCACGAAATGTTTTGCTGGATATTCCAACAGACTAGTTTTAAGCCGTACCCTTTCAGAGGTTCACGCATAATACCATGCTCAAAGGGATCAAGCTTCTGAACGGACAGCATCATCAGTTTTCTCCAGTGTAAACCCCAGCTGCTTTGTAGTCAGCTGGTTGCGGAAATTTAGGCCGTCTGTAAATATCTCTATGACAGCCGAGTTGCTTGAAGGCATTGCAAATAAAAACTACAGGTTGCAGCGACCAACGTTTATAGATAAACGTTGGTAGCGACTGCACTCTGGCACTCCCACACATTGTGTCGAACAGAAAGGCACTAGTTTCGGTTTGAGGTCGGTACTCTTTCTACAACATAGATGGCGGCAGTATCAGTCTTCTGCACTTGGTGCATTTGGCAAGTTTCTTTGAGGCCAGTTCTCCGTGCGACACTCCGCGAGTGCGATGCATTCTGGGAGAGAACTCGAACGGTGCTAGTGCGTGTGAAACAAACTCGCTACAAGTCCAATCCCACAAGTTTTAAATTTTTACATTGTTTATCTTACCAAAAGGAACGGAGAAACCGCCGCCTCATTCTTTTGAAATATTACGATTCCGCTGCATAATAGCAAAGAAAAGAACGGGAAAATTTCGCAATTCGCAGCCGCGCGGTGCCGGCCACAGGAACTAAGGCATTACGTGCAGTGAGTATAATGTGAAGAGTTGGCAAGATGTTTCATTAAGTGCTCAAGCTAATGCCATATTTGATAAATATTGTCGTTTCAACACGAGTAGATGTGTCAAAAACCTCGTATAATCGACAAAGTTATACAACATTCGGTTTTAGTGGCGCCATCTGCCCGAGGTGAAAGAAACTATTCCTTCCTTGTGCCTCACCTCGTTGTGCTACTACGTCAGTCGAACTTCCTTACAAAATGTCAAGCTCTTTGCTCTCCCCCTCTCCACATCGCTCAGTCTCCGACCAACCTTCTAGGTCGCCATGTGAATCGCAAGCAGAGGCCAGGCGCGCTGAAGGCTCTGAAGGAGATCCCAACTCTCTATCCGCATTGCGCGTCACTGGGCACTCGGAAGAAGGTGCAAGAGTCGAGGGTGGTTTGGAGGCACCCAAAACGTCAATTGTTTCACTTTTTTTTCTAAGGAACTAACGTGCGTAGGCAGAATTTTTTTTCAGTTCTTTAATCTATATGTGACGGGGAGCAACTACCACAATTATTCGACAGAAGTCCAAACATTGTTACACGGCCCCTTTAATTTGGCGAGTTAGCAAGAAACGTCTTTAGTCAGATAACATGTTTACGCATAAAACATTCTAATCGAAAACTACAGAAACTTGATGTGAAATCTCAAGTGAATTCCTGTTGTGGAACGGTTGTTAAAGCACATGACACGTTGAGTTCTGGTGAATATTTGATGTCTCGTTACATAAAGATGAAACCAGAAATTCATTGTCACGAGGGAAGGGCCCCCCAACAAAACTGCTAAATTTAAGGTGCAGGCCCAAGGACTGTTTTAACGCTATGTTTTAATGTTTGCCCCCCCCCCCCCCCCCCCGTATCTCACTGGTGTTGCGAGCGTTATTCTGAGTCACAAGAATTTTGTTAAAGGGGGACGTGGGCCTAAGTATAAAAATGTTTTGAAAAAATTAATTTTTCAATTTTGAGGTTTTCGGTTTTAGAAACTAATTATATACCCTTACACTAAATTTCATAACCGTGCTCCAAATAGTTACGTTGATATAAAATATTTTCAGCACGTTATGAGGCTATGAGGCACAAAGTAAAGGAGTTCAATGTTTGAAAGCATTTTTCTCAGTTCCATTTTTAGGGGCGAAGCTCCTTAGGGTCCAGTCTTGTCCGCCGTCCATGCTCACATCGATTGCTATCCTATCTGTCTTCTTAAAGAAAGAAAAAATGTTTGTGCACAGTCGACAGGGTTGGAACCTGTGCGGGGAAGACCCCAATGGATTTAGAGTCCATTGCCTTAACCACTGGGCTACGACGGCGGGACAAGTGGGGGCTCTGAGATGTGGTAGTAACTCAAGAGCTGGGGATGTCATGGATGAAACGTTGCATGTAGCCGCTCAACGTCTATACAGGAGAGGGTGCTGCGGTCAAATGCGTATATAATCGCGTTAAACTTTGCATGCATTGGCTCAACGTTTATAGACGAGAGGGCGCTGCAGTCAAATGCTCAAATGCATATATAACCACATTCCATACCACACATTCTCTTTCTGACATGGACCGTTGACTTAAGCGGTGGAGATGCGTTCCCACGACTTCTAGCGAATCCAAGCTGATCCGCTAGAAGAACCATTGGCTCTGCATTTCACCGACCATAATAAAGCAGTAATGGAAGTCGAAACGCAACCCGGAACTCAGCATTACCTATGAGCAACAAAAAAAATCGGCACCATCAGCACTACCTATGAACAATAAAATCAGTATCGTCAGCACCACCAGAGCTTCACCCCAATCAACATTATTCACCACGTGGAGATGCGGTCATTTTTATTTGCTGCAAATTGTATACAAAGGAATCTTTTGTTAAAAAATTAAGTTATTTTGATACCACAATCAAGATGTTTCTGAACTGAAATTTACTGTGGAATCGGGCTGTCTACTTTATTTTGTTTTAAGTTGAAGTCCTCATTGAGAAAAAACTAAGTTTTCAAAAATGGACATAGGACAGATATGCATAGATATGCATCTCATATTTTGAGATAATCACTCTTCCTGAAATATCTGCATTAGAGTTATAAAAACTAGACAGCCCGAAGTCCCACATTCCCCATTTTATATTCGAGCAGTTCAAATGATGCTTAATAGCTTCATTTGCCTATTATAGATTTCTTATTGAAGAGTGACACATCTTCTTATGCAGGTATGTAAAGTTGTTCTAGAGAGCTGAAAGTTTGCACAGTACACCTACATCTGAGGCGAAATCTCCCCTCCAAATTTCATTCCGATCACTTGAGTAGTTTAGAAGTTCAACCTCTAGCCAGTGTCCCCCCTTAAGAGTAGTAAGCAGAAACTATAGAACAATTTAGGCCACCACAAAAGACGCTACCCCGACTCGCACTCAAAATCCTGCCAACCGCCAAATGGGCAATTGGTTCTGCTTGACAAGTGAGAAAAGCAGTAAAACTTTTTGGGAAAGGGGACAAACTGGCGAACCTGCACAGGTTCCTCAACAGCCTGCTGGTGAGCGCCAACGGCAAGATCTGCGTCTGTGGGGACGAGACCCAGAAGCCATTCCCGCTGCTCGTCTGGGACCTGTCGAGACGCAAGCTGCTCTACGACCTCCGCATCCCGCACCACGAGTTCCTCACCCGCCTCTCGGCCATCAGTGGGGACGGACACTACGTTGTCTGCGTCTGCCGGGCAAGTCCCTCTTGATTCCAGCACGAAAATCCCAAATTTCCTGCTGGACTTGCTCAGTTAAAGGGCCCCTGAAAAGAAAAAAAAAGTTTTTTAAAAACAGTCTAGTTAGGACACGCAAGTCAAAAAATCAATTTTACGCGAAAAAAAAAAATTTTTAGAGCAATATTGACCGCGCCAGACGCAATTTAGTCGGCAGTCACCTCCTTTCCACCTTTTTCTCTCTCGGCATCTCGGGCGCGTGGAGGAGAGGTACACCCCGCCTCTTCGTAGTGGATCGGCTTGGCTACTTTCCCGGCTTGGCTGCGCCCCGCACGAGAGCCATTGCTACTTCCTGGCCGTGTTCCAAAATTTACTCGATCTTACCCCAGGGTTAGAGTTTTGTACCCTTGGCATTCTAAAACCTACCCGCGTACAGCGTTTTTCAATCTGTGCTGTCACATGATACGATCCGCCGGAATAACTCGGATCCATTTGGAGATTTGGAACACAGCCCCTGTGTCTGCCGGTCGCACGACGTACCGCGTCGTATCGTGCACGATGGACCCCGACCTGAAGCGTCGGTTGCTTCAACCCTTCAACGCTGCCAGCAGCTGGGCCTTCGCCCGTACGAGGACAAGCCTCGTCAGCCAGAAGGCGTCCGCTCCGATCGTTGCGAGACAACCGCTCGCGAGTAGGCACCTACTTCGCCGCGGAAGGCTGCGAAGCGGGTGCCTCGACGAGTTCGTCCGAGCCGCACGACCCTTCAAGCCGCCGTGAGGACATGCAGTGGTGACTCATTTTTTTTATTAAACGTTGAGTGCAGTGCCGCGTGCCTTCACTAAACTCTTTACGGGAACCGACATCTAAAAAAAAATTGGCACTGGCGCGCGCCAGAAAACATACAAAAGATGGGTCAAACGGGACACACGAATCACGCAAAGAAGAGCAGGAAAACAAGAACCTGTCACACCGCGCCACTTCCTAAGTACTTATGATGACTAACTAACACAAGCAACAAGCCCTCTTCAGAAGGTTTTCACATATAAACGCGATAAAACTATAAAACCACCCGAGATACGCGAGACGCGTTACAACGACGGCGACCATGACAGAAAACAAAATGGCGAAGCGTTTGTTTGTTGTTTTGTTGTAGTATCCGAACGGAAGTTACGATTTTGTAAAACGTTTGTAAGCAATTGCGACATTCATTCGATGGCTTGTTTCTTAAACCTAAAAATATGTCATTCAAAAGGCGATCTCAAGAGATCACAAAGATTTTATAACCAACGTCTAAGCTGTCACTCATTCTATTGGCCAATGAGAAGCCGATTTGAATGACCATGGTTACCAATGAGAAGCCGAGCTGAATGACCTGGAATTTGCGCGCAAAATTTCAAATAAATCTCTCGCAGTCAATATTGCTCTAAAAAAAACTTTTTTTTTCGCGGAAAATTCATTTTTTGACACGCGTGTCCCAACCAGACTGTTTTAAAAAAAACTTTTTTTTTCTTTTCAGGGGCCCTTTAAGTCTCCACGCCAAATTTAATGGAGTGAAATCCTAACACCGGGGAAACTTGATGTCACCTGACTTAACATCATGCGTCCTATGCAGCAGTTCAATTTTCCCCCTATAAAAACTTCACCTAACGTCTCGTGACCTATCCACCGTCAGTTTCGCCGCTAAATTTAGCGTGGAAATTGATAAAAGGTTCTCCAAAACAAGTGTCCTATGTCCTCTAAGGAATGCCAACAAATGAAAACAATTGCTCCTTAAATACTGCATTTTGTGCGTCGTAGGACTTTGGAGATAAACTGTTGGGTAAAGTATGTCTAAAAAGTGCTTTAAGTACAAATGAAATGAGAGGTGATGTACTTCGAGTAAAGTAGTAAGTACGCTGGGTGAAATGTACTTGAAGTACTATGAATAGGAGGTAGACTTTTTCACACAATCTTTCACGATGCCCTTTCATTTCCCCCTACAGGGATTTTGGAAGTGGGAGGCATTGCCCGAGGGGTAATGGGGGTCCATCACTTGTTCCAGAAATGGCAGCGAATATGGAATAAAGGGGCCACAGAGGAGTTATTTGGAGAAATGGTGCCAAATTCAGGGGGTCCCTCCAACTTGTGAATTTGGCACCGCTGGCACTGGCTTGTTGCACACAAGGGGGTTAGACGTACTAGGAGAGCACGACGGAGGCCCTGTAGCTTCCACAAGCAATGCTCTCAAAGTGGAGTGTCCTCTCCTTAACGAAAAAAAACCGAGTGTGCAGGCAAGCTGGTGATGATTCATCATAATGTGGCACCTGAGACTGCAGTGCGGAAAAGTTGAACTTTCAAGTCGAAGGAAAAACAAGAGAAGTTTCAAAACATGGAGACGTTCCCCTGACTTTTTCTACAACTTGAAATTTTCTCAATATTTCCGCAGCACAGTCTCGGATGTTGCACGATGATTAATTGTCCTCTCCTAATATTTTGAACCTCCTCGCTTGCGCTGACCGAGCGAGAAGTAGCCCCAGACAAACGGAGCGATGCGTCGTCTGCTCACGTTTCTGGTGAGAGTAGAATATCCTTCCCAATATTTCTTCAGATTTGACAGAGCATCATTTTGTGATTCAAATTTAAAAAGACCAATCTTGGGGAATGTTCTTTGAAGTCGGGAGTTGTACTTTCCTCCTAAAGGACCAGGTTCCAACCGCTAGCACATAGTTTATTTTTGCGGTAAAAACTTGAACCCAGTTCTCTTTCCATCCTGGTGGGTTTCATACCTGCGTCAACCTTTGGTCGGGTTCAACATGAATCTGGAGAACGCTGCAAATGTTGCATTTATTGTACACCTTAAAGATTGGCAGTTATGCTAGCTGTAATCAGTAGTAGTTCATCCCCCCCCCCCCCCCCCACACACACACACGCACACAATTTGTCAGCTGACTTCGTTAGGCTGAGTCCCGCAGACCTTCTTAGGAGACCGCAGACCGCTAAATTTTGAAGTCATTCACATTTTTTTTTAGAAATCGCACGTTCAAGGTGTTTGGGCAGAGAATGCGCGTACACAACGACCGATGGCTGTGATGGTCCTCTCGATTGAAAGTGTGCCATGGTCTCTCGTAAGTTCATGAAAGGTGAACGTCTGTTTTTATTGCAAATCCCTAGAACATCGATTTCATAAAATCTGGATTCAACACAATCCTAGAGACGTGTATGTCTTTTTTTGTTTTTTGTTTTCGTTTTTCATCTTTTATTTACAGGTTGTTCTCGACACAGTGTTGGGCGTAAAAAATTGTATAAGTAAGCGAGTGAACAGGGTGCCATGAACTTTTCCCAAAGGTGTTTTTAGGTGGGGCATTGATCATACTCTAAATCGGTAAGTGTAAAATGTCTGGGAAAAAATGAAAAAAATTAAAACTTCTTTCTTTCCTATGTACAGTAGGAAAATGGACGCAAACACTTTGAGTGACGCTGCTGCTTACATATGGCACCACATGATATAAAAACTTGAAAGATTCTTAGAAACCCTACAGCAGATTCTGAAGATCCAAGCACGTGTGGTACCATGCACGAATAGCAGCTTCAACCCGACGGTTTGTTTCTGTTTTTCTCCCGCGCAGAGGGAAAAAAGGCACTTTTTTTTTTTAACTTTTTTTCATAAAAATTTACATTCACGAAATTTTAGTATGATAGATGCACCACCTAAAAGCACCTTTGTAAAAAATTTCATGCCACTCTGTTCATAGGCTTAATAATGAGATTCTTTTTACAACACCCTGTAGAGTGAAATAGAACTCGGTTTATGTGCCGTTTTTCTTTCTGTTTATCTTAAAAGGACAGGGTATTTATGCTCTTGAAGGTTTTTATTTGTACATGACGTATGAGAGCTCAACTACTCAGAATACAATTTGCGGCTCGGAATTCGTCCTTTCAGCCCAAAAACCGCTGATCGAGAACTGGCCGGTCGGAGTTGTGCTCACTCTCCTTTCTGTGGTCAGTGCCATTCTCTATAATTTAGAATAGACAGACCAAATATAATCAAATTCGTGGGACATTGAAGGCACGCACTCAATATTAAAAATAGAAATAAATATGATATCCATTTTTTGCAGCTTTCAAAAAATTTCAAATATCTTGATTGAAAAAAAAAAAAAAAAAAATTGCTCAGAGAAAACTGGAAGCACTGTGCATTGTATGCATGATTCTGAACATGGCGTCATATTGTGAGAGTCGCGGGCGGCTGAACGAAGCAGACTAAGTGATGGCGGCAGACGATGGGCTTAGGACCTCTACTTTAGAACTGTCGTTCGCGGCACCAGCGAATCTGTCTAGCTCGGAAAGAGAAATCGTTTCCCGATCAAAACAATTAGGATTTATTCCGTACGACACGCCCGACCACCAGGCTGATTCGCATGAAGACGTCGCCGAATCATCGCCCCTTTTCTTGACTGAAGACATCGCTAGTCTTGCGAGCAGAAATTGGTAAGAGCTTGAAAAACGTGCAAACGTCAAGCCCAAAGTACTTGACTTTTGCGTTTTTTGTGCGACGTATGCGTTTTTCGTCTGCTTCGCACAACCAGGAAAACGACGCGAAAAAAAAAAAAAAAAAAGAAAACGAGGTCTGGTGTAGCCACATGACTTCCGGCAACTCACTCCTTTTCCCCATTTCTTCTTCCTCCCCAGTTTCAATTTCGGTTTTGATCAGTTGCATTTTTTTTTTTTTACTTTATTTAAAATATATGCTATGCTGTAGCAGAATATGATTGGAGAGTCGTCTGACACTGTATTAAATCGCCTGGCAAATAAAAAAATGTTTGATGGGTGTGAGTGCCCTTTCAAGGGGTGCTTGAGTGTAGTGTCGTTCATTCAATGAATTGGTGTTAAATAATGGGGCAAAAGCAAACCATTCCTAAACAATTTGGGACTGCGCCGGGCGCATACAAGCCGGTTACCCCGAGCGTTTCGAGCACGCCTTGAACAGCTGAGTTATGGCGCCATCTAGTGGGACGAGTTAAAATTATGTCGGCAGCATCGGGGGACAGCGCTCCAGGCGTAAATCTAGAGTTGGTCTTGGCTGTGTGAAAGAAGCATCTAGAAGGCGCGATGCCATCTTTATCCTTGGCCCACCCCAAGCCACACTGAAGCGAGACGAGAGTGGGCCGCAAAATGGCAGACGCACCAAGAGGTGCTGGCTGGATCCACCAGTGATGACCTTTGGGAGGGAAAGGCATCTAGGCACTATTGGTGGTTTGTGTAATGAAAACCTGGGATCCGGAAATTGAGCCGACAGTGCTTAAAACTAGGGGTGTGCGAATACCGAATAGTAGTTTTCGAATCGAATACCGAATCGAATCAAGAAAAAAAAGCCGAATATCGAATCGAATATCGAATAGTGATTTTATTTGTAGGAATTTTTTGAAGTGTGCTGCGAATGCAACTATTATATGTGCAGAGTATGCGTCTGGTGTAGAATATGCATCTTGTACGGAACAATAGTGGCTTTAATTTAGTGGCTTTAAGTGACGCTCAGCAAGTTTCTAATTGGAACCATATGTCTATTTTCAATAATTAAAAAGTTAATGAACAAATTTCAGTTAATTCCTCACCAGACTGTGACGGTTGTTTGCCCCTCTAATGTCTGCTGAGCTGAAGAAACATATAGTGAAGACTGCATTCATGTGGTAGTGAAGACTCCTTTTTAAAAAATATGTTTCAAACAAAAAGTAGCACCCGGTGTAGGAGGCACTATACCAACATACAAATAGCGCTTTTATGTGCTTGTCCTTGGCACTCTTTCACCCACCGGTCAAGGTCAACTTGTGTGCGGCAGCAGAGCAACTTGAGATTTGCAAACGAAGCACGGGTTGTCAGTGCCTTCCAACGTGAAATAGCAGGCGATCACAATTTCAACCTGTGTCCGATCTCGCTTTGCTGCGGCGCTCGGTTCGTGGCAGACTATTGACTTTTTTTCACGAAAGGTAACTTCAATCTCCCTCTTGCAGTAACCATTGTACCCCTGGCCCGATTCCGACAGGTGTCGGCGAGTGTCGGAGTTCGCTGTGGGTGCCGTGTGTAGCGTCGGAACAATCTCGTGTCCTCGCGCGTTGCTAAAAAAGAGGAAAAGTGGTCGCCTGTGTTGTGCCGTGGCGTCTTTTGCACGGGCTTTCAACGGCTCCGCCTCCATAGTGAGCGCGGTTGGCACTTGGAATAATCCGGTTCAAAATGCATGCATTTCGGTCGGGATCACCTTAAACTTGGAATCGGGTGATTTTGTTGTAATAAGGGATATTTGTGAACAAGACATGAACAGAATTGCACTCTGTCACCAGACCCTTGGGAACCTGCTGATGGGGAAGGGGTAGCAAAGCGAGTCTTCCGAGAGAAGTTTGTGAAGAAGGCTTGGCATCCTTGAAAAACTCTGTCACTTCTTCAATGGTTTGTTCAGTGTTTCCTGGTGCATGGAGCTTTATTTATGCCCCGCTTAACCTAAATATTGTTACAGTCGAGCCCAGGTATTTCGAATTATTGTTTATATCGGGCAGTTCAAACATCCCCTTGAAAATCAAATGTAATAGTATAGGAACGTCGTCTTTTAGTATCCAGCTCCCATGGCGGGGACACTTGATATAGCGAACGAAATGCACACGGGGATACACAGCAAAAAAAAAAAAAAAATTGTAAAAAAAAAAAAGAAGAAGGAGGATGGCAAATTTAAGGGGAAGGGCACGCAGGCGTGTAAGGAGGGCAGGGAGTGCCCGCTGTGGGAAGGGTAGCATCCGCTCTTTCCCCGAACACCATTTGTGCTGCGAGACTCCTTAGCCCAACCCCTAAATAAAATAAGCACAAAAAAAGTCTTCATCAAGTTGAGTGTGCCGACACCAAGGGTTGAGCAATTGCACTTTGAACGCCTTATCTTTTTTTACCTTTTTCTTTCGTCATTTTTACTTTTTATTTATTTTTTTTTTTTTTTTTGCCTTTCTTTTTTTTGCTGCCTGAATTTTTGGTCGGGGCCTTCGGTATTAGCAGAGACGCGCTTAAGTTAACATCTTTTTGTATATCAAATTATCGATATATCAAACTATTTTACGATCCCTTTTGAATTCAATATATCCTGATTCAACTGTACCTTCCTTGACCAGACTACAAAAAACCGGTGGAAATGTTTGATTGAGGTGAATTCTTTTGCTCCAAAAAACAAAATACCCCATGCCCCACCTGCCTGTGGCAGGTATGTACCAGAGCAGGCTCTGCATTTGCTCAAGCCAAGCAGAAATAGCCACCTCATATGACTCTAAACACCTGTCCAAACAGGAATCGTGAGGCGACACGACTCCGGCAAAAATCGTAAAAGTTAAAGCGTCCGGCACTCCGATGTCTGTTTGAACACCACCGAGCCAAAATCTCGATTTTCCTCCGCTTTTCAGTGACCTTGGTGCTTGTCAGACTCGACATCACACGCCACCTGCCACTACTGTCCATCTGTTTTGCCAGGCCCTCGTATCCTGGGCCGTGTTCCAAAATTTACTCGGTGTTGCTTCAGAGTAAGGGTTTTATGCCTTGCATTTAAAAACCTACCCGCGTTCAGCGTCGCTCTACCTGTGTTATCACATGACATGACCTGCCAGAGTGGCTCGGATCTATGTGGGTAAGATTTGGAACACTGCCTTTCCCTTTCCCGTTTTTGGGACTTGAAGAGCAGCGGAGGCTTTGAGCGATTGACCGACAGCCAATAAAGCTTGAGTGGCTGTCTGGACCCATGTGATGAGCATGCTCAACACCCCGTGGAGGACACGGGAGAAATTTGACGGAGGGAACTTTCCCTTTGGCAAAAAAAAGGGACAGAAGCGGACCGCCGCACTACCTACGTCGGAGTCGTGTCACCTTGCGATTCCTGTTTGAACAGGCCTTAAAGGGTAACTGCAAAGAAAAAAAAGTTTTTTTTTAAACAGCCTAATTGGGACAAGCATGTCACAAAACAAATGTTCCGCGAAAAAAAATTATTTTTTTATCAATATTTACGTTACAGGACGTAATTTAGTAGAGTCAGAACCTCTCCACATTTGAAACTCCCGCTCTTTCGACCCCCGCGGAAGAAGAGTACGCCCCGCCCCTCACTCTCCTTGCGTTGCGGAGTTGAACGACGCAGCGTCTCGACTTCCGGCAAGATCTGGCAACTACGCCAGGCCGCGGTATTGTTTTGGTTTGACGCGGTTTGCGAGCACATGTAACGAAGACGTGACCGGAGAAGTGCCCCTGTGATGTTCCCGGAAGATGGAAAGTATCGTTCGTAATCGTCGTGCGCGCTTTGAAAGCGAAGGGAGTCACAGAATCCACGAGTGCGCAACCACAAGCCAAGGTTCACGACAGCGCTGCGTTGGTTTCGGCGATCTCGTTCTGTTTGGTGCAACACGGCGATGCGACAGAGCTGAAACGTTCGTGGTAGGCCTGTGCGCCGCCGCGCTGCGTTGCCGCGGCCGCAAAGTCACGCCGCCGCCGCACGCTGAGCGTGGTGCGATCCCGGTTCAACGCCTCCATGTCGCCGCCGCCGTAGCCGCCGCACAAGTTCGTCTGCTTTGGAACGCCGCCGCCGTCATCTGACCGGCACACAGGTCTATCACGTCTGCTTGCGCTTTTTCAGGAGTTTCCTTTGGGCTCTAAAAGTTACTTATTAATCTTAGTTTTTTTGTTATACTTCAAACAAAGATGATAAGTTACTTCAGGAAGCTTCCGAAAGAGCGCAAGCACCACGTGACAAATAGCGGCCACTTTTCTGTGGCACCCGCGGGCGCCAACTACAAATTCGTATTGCTCTTAAATAAAGCTCTAAAAATTTTTCTATTTCGTTGTAAATTCGTTTTTTGACTTCCTTTTCACAACCAGGAAGAAAAGAAAATTTTTTCTTTTGCATGTGTCCTTTAACTTACCACAGAAATGAAGCTATTTACGATCGACAAGTATGAACTGGAGAATGTCTTAAAACTGCCAGAAAACACACTAACCTGACTCGGAAACTGCTCAAAATCCCGCCAACTGCGAAACGACAATTTCTCCCGCTAGATAACGGGGAAAATGGGTTTAGCGGGGAAAGCGCTGGCAACATTGGACGGGCTCTGAGGGGGCTGTGTGTGTGTGCGCAGGAGCTGAGCGACAGTGCGCCCAATTTCATCATCGTGTACGACCTGCAGAGCGGCACGCTGTTCAAGAAGTGGAAGCCCGAGCGGAACAGCTGCAGCATCGCCATCTCCTCGCAGGGCGGCTGCGTGGTGAATGGCCTCGACAACTGCTTCGTCCTCGTCTGGGACCTGGCCACGGGCGCTCGCAGGTTTCTCTCTCGCTCTCTCCTGGCCAAGCAATTCTGGATTTCAAAGCCTCGGATTGCTCTGGGACCGTCCGTGCACCTGCGGGCAAATCGGCTGGTGCAAACAGAGTTCCCCCACTAGATTTGGCGGGAAAATGGATTAGCCTATTACATTAATTCCGTTTCTCCGCTAAACAAATTGACGTCATGCGACCCATTCAGTTTCCCCTCTAAATTTGGCGGGAAAATTGATGTCACGTGACCTGACATCACGAGGCGCTCCTTGCGGGAACTAAAGCAAGTGCTTTGAAAAGTGCACATAGCGCCACTGGCGGACGAGCTGGCGTTCTACCGTGAGGCGCATTCAGCAGCCTGCCGTGTCTTTTCGCGTGCCAAGGGTTGGCGGCGGAAGTGTGCACGGACGGAACTTTGGTTCTATGAGCTGACACGTTCAGGGCTGGTGCACACCTGCAAAAGCTCATTCACAATGCAGGCTGGCTTTCAACGAGGAACTTTCCCACTTCAACCACTGCAATTTTTCACAAAATCGTGCGAGGCACTGATGTCCTGAAATTACTCTGCCACTGAGTTCAGGGTGGAGATAAGAAATAAAGTTGATTTAGCTTGTGATTTAAGTCGCACCAATTTCACGAGAAATTTCCCAGAACACCTGGGAAATTTCCAGGTGCAAGAAAAGGCCCCAAAAAACGTAGTATCAGAAATATGTTTTTATTAATCATTTGTCTGTATATTCATATTAAAAATAGCGCAAAAGAGACGGGACAAAGCGTTTGTCCTGTGTGCTTCTTCGTCTTTTTGTCCCGTCTCTTTTGCGCTATTTTTAATATGAATGTCCACTACCAACTTGCCCAGCAAACCAAGCTTTTACAATACATTTGTCTGTAATTTGACGATATTCATGCGCATTTATTTTGTTTTTAGTAAAAAAAAGTGAGTAATAAAATATGTATAGTAGGCTGATCACAATCGAAATACGGTGTTGTTCTGTGCTAATTGGAAAGGGGAGCTTTGTTTTATCTTGTACTTGTTTCGTCAGTTACGTGGTAGCTTATTTATGTGAATCAGAATGCGAAGAAAGCATACGAAAAGAAGTGTGTGCACATGCACGCAGACCAGCAGAACTGAGAGGCACATGCTGGCAGACCGAGCTGTAGATGTAAGCCTGATCTTGCATCGGCCAGTATACAGTATAAACTGTTTACAACAGACATTTGGATATAACATACTGCTTTTTGTGCAGTTGGGTTAGTTGTGTGCCATTGGTTCCACTTTGTATCTGCATGCAGCATACTCCTTTTACAACAGACTGAAACCTTGGTCGCTATCAAGGTCCGTTATAACCAATTTAGAATGTATATCCTTTTTGTGATACACGAGTTTGCCGCTTCTTTTCCTTGTGCACTTTAAAAGCAAAAGAAAAACTCTTTAAATGATCTGGAGGACTTAAAAGTGCAAAAAACATGGACGAGGAAGAGACCCATACAACACGGATTGGTGCTCGTCCGTGTTTTTTTGCGTTTTTAAGTCCTCCAGATCACGATCAACCAACTAGACCAATCCAAAGTTTTAATTCTGCATTATTCATTTGATAAATGACTCGCAAACGGCTCAAATAGAAAAAAAAAAACACATTTGTTCGTTTTATTCTTTTTTCTTTTGTTGCTTTTCACTTTTGTGCTGCTCGAATTGTGTGGAACTGGCCTTTTCCTACACATATGTTCCAACAAGGGATGTCGCAAACTTTTTTCGAACCGTATTTTTACGTCGAACATCAAGGCTCGACTGGTTCGACGAAACTTCTAACTTTAAACCAAGTTCTACAAGGTTCGACTTTGTGTACAGCGTGGTTAGACTCTGATACAAGCATGTCGAGGTTTAGAGAAAAGGTTTTTATGGAATAGCTTGTTTTATTTTATAAATAGTTACCATCAATGGAACATATTTCTAATAACCTAAAAGTTAATAACATAATTTATTCTTGCTATATTACCAAAACAGCCCAACCATTCTGCCCTTGCTAAAAGTAAAGGGAGAACTGTCGCAGAGCTGTGTTTCTTTCACCGAGTCTCAGCTGAGACTCTGTGAAAGAAAGCACTGCTGTAGCCTCCTCTATACTAACAAAGCCTAGCAGTTCGACGACGGAGCCATAGAGTGCCCGGTCGCAGATTTGGAGCGCGAGGATCGGTTAGCGCAGAGCATCAAAGAGCCATTTATTGGGGAACCTAAACGTCAGCGCACAGCTTTTGCAGCGGCGAAGACCCGAAACACACTTTCAGGTCCTCGCGTCTCGCTGCAGTGTCTCGCGGCAGCGGCAAGACGCTGCGTTTCGGCGTCTCGCCGCAGCGGGGCGCCAATCACATTGCTCTCCTATCTTACGCTGTCTGCCGCTCCACCTTTTCCATTTCGGCGGCTGCTTCTCCGTGCAATTTTCCAGGCTTTGTCAGTATATATAGGAGGCTATGGCACTGCAAAGTCTTGGGCGTGCGAGTGTCTTGAGACGCGGCAAGAGACCCACTCAGCTCTCTTGCCCCCAGTCTCAGCTGAGACACTGTTTGTAGCCAAGTGGGCCCTGCTCCTCTCGGGGAACATGGCGTCGCCTGAGGCATCTACATCGTCTGCAGCCGCAACCTCGGCAGTACCGAAACGTGGCCCTCCATGCCACTATGTTGGAAACAAACTAAGGGAGCGGAAGAACATCCTCCATGCTTTCGCATTCACAACTCATAAGAAGTGGTTAGGTGTTCTCGGAATTTTTTATTGTAAGGTTGACCTCTCATTCCAACTAAGTATTCTTAATCCTAAATTTAGATTGAACGGAAATGAATTGCAAGATACACCATTCGCTGACGGTAACTCTCTCAAAAGGCCCCAACATTTCAAGATCTCTCCTCTTACATGATATCTGATTGGCATCATTCTTACTGAAAACAACTTTGTTGAAAGTAAGTAAAAATAATGACTCTAACTCACAACAGAGCTATTTACGATCGATAAGTGTAAACTGGAAAACATTTTAAACCACCAGAAAATATGCTAATGCGGCTCGAAAACTGCTACAAATACCGCCAACCTCAAAAGGGAAATTTCTCCCGTTATACGACTCGGAAAACCGCTGAATTGGGTGGGGAAAACGGCTAAATTGTCTACACTGGGGCAGACATTGGAACATGATGTTAAAAAGGTCGTTGTTAGAGCCTGCCTCAAATGTAGCAGTTTTTAGGGGTTTTTTGGGGGATTCCTTTAGCGGTATTTGTGAGTGGGCCGCACTGCTTTCCCGGCTGCAGGTTCACCCTTCCGGGACACAGCGCCCCCGTGGATGAGATCCGCCTGGATGAGTCCGGCCTGCGGGCGCTCACCCGCAACGCAGAGGGCGTCGACCGCAGCGTCCGCGTCTGGGACCTCATGAAGGGTGAGCTGCACACTTGCCATAGACCTTGCAGAAGGATTCATAATTCCTTAAGTATTCACTAATTACGGTAAAAAAGAAAGACATATCCTCATTATTCAACGCTTTATCAGAGGTTTAATATATTACCGATTTGAGTGGTCAAAAAGAATCTACGGTGTCATATGTTCTCACCATAATCATTGTGTTGCTTCAGAATAGTCATTCTGCTGTATTATCATTTGTTTTGCTTATATCTTTTTTTTTTGCTTCCAGTATGTGTGTTGTTGGCTGCCTGGTCCCATATAAGAGCAGTTTTTGCTTTTGTGGGCCAGCTCTTTCCTATGCATTCTGTCAAATAAAATTACTATTATTATTAAGCGAGAACCCAAAACGACACAATCGAGCATTTTTCCAAAATTACAAATTTTACATGTTGGTAGTGCGGAGTGTCATCTATAAATTAATCACTCGGTGGAGTTTTCTTATTCGGAAAAGGGCAAATTTAATTGTCAAAATTCGCTTTGCCTCTGGATTTTGGCAAAACTTGCTGGTCCAGTTCTTTGCAGTAACTCGACCAATTCTAAAGCTAAAAAGGTCCTGCCTACCGTATTTACACAAATGTAGGTTGACCCATGTTTTAATTTTTTTAAATCTGAAGTGGGGGGGTCGGTTTATAATCGAACCAAAGCATTCTACCGCCAACAAAAACAAAACACTGGCAAAATCCAGAACTACTCAACTTGTTTATGGGTTGCCACTCTTTCTTCACACATTTGGGTGTAGAGCTCCAGCCACTTTCTCTCTGACCGTCCTCCATGCATATTCAGGAAAGCAATATTGAATCTCTTCCCATTTGCTTGATCCCGCTGTGCCTCTGATGGTGTTCCTCCTGCCTCGACTGGTTCAACAGGGCCTTCAGCATGTTTTCCCAGTTGGTTGGTCTTGCCCTCTCTCCGTCCCTCTGCTGTATTGGGGATCCTAAAAAAACCTGGCTTCTATTCTGGCTGATACCCGTTGGGCCGCTTTCTTCGAGTTTTGAGTCTCTTCGAGTCCCCCAGGTTGGGTCCACATCTCCGTCGCCGGCACAAACTCAACCATTGGGCCCCTTTCTCAGTAGAGACACAACATTTTTGGTGTTGTTCTCGGACCATATTTGAAACTTTAATAACTGCCAAAAGAAATTGTTCCAACTCATCCACTTCTATTAATGAGCTCAACCTTTTTTAAAGCCATTGTTGAAATTTCGCCCGAGTTCACCTGGAGTCGGTGAATGCGACTACTAATACAATGTTCGAGCCACTCTTCTACGGGATTCGGTCGAGCAAGAACAAAGAAAGAACTGTATGAAGAAGAACACCACAACTTTTGTACATTGGCAGTTAGCAAATAGATCTTAACTGCCGTTAGGATACCAAAATTTTGACTGATATTTGAGCCAAGAGATGGCACGAATTTCTGAAAGGCTCTATTATAAACTGCTTGTCTTAGTCCATGAAATTTGGTAAGCCATCCTCCTACAGGAGACTTCTTGGTTCGAGGATTTGTCAATACTGTACGAACAAAAGGCGCCATTAGAAGGGGGAGGGAAACATGGTAATGGTCACGAGTAATTTTAGTACTCCAAAAGTAATTGGATTACTTTTGGAGTACTAAAAGTAATTGGATTAAAGGTAGTCAAACAGTTGTGAAGTGTTTCCAAATACAAGTAATTTGATTACTTGTAATGGTACCGTACAAGTCTAAAAAATAGCGTTGGTTCCAAGTAATTTTAGTACTGCCACGAGAAATGAGATCACCCTGGCAGCTATTTTGTTATGCAATTCTTTCCAGAATGACTCGAAAGAGGATTAAGTGTGCACTTGGAGCAGTGATCCCGGGTGGCTGTGTGTGCAGGGGAGTGCCTGGCGGTGTTCACCCCCGACCTGGCTGTGACATGCTGTGAGCTGAGCCTGGATGGCCGGGCGGTGGCCATGGGCCTGGAGCGCCACTCGCGGCTCTTCTGCCACCTGCTTACTGACGCCGGAGACGAGCCCCCGGAGGCTGTGTACGGCAACGCTGCGCTTTGCGGACAGCGCTTCGACCTCGCCCCCGAGGCCTGACTCCCGGGGTTGCCAGGGGCCACGCTGCCGGGAAACTGGGGTTGCCAACTCGACTGAAAAACGGCTGAAAACCATTTGAGGCCCACTGCAGCCACGCCACTAGGCCAGGAAACCAGTGTTGGCAGCTGAGAACTTGCTAAAGGTATCCCGAAAAAGTGCTACATTTAAGGCGCAGACCCGCCGCAGCCACTAGGCGGGGAAGCCAATGTTGGCAACTGAGAACTCGCTGAAGGTATCCCAGAAAACTGCTAAATTTCGGGCGCAGGCCCGCCGCAGCCTCGCCACTAGGCCGAAAAAACCAGCGTTGCCGATTAGAAAATGAAAAACCCGCTAAACTAATCCCGAAAAACTGCTCAATTTGAGGCATGGGTGGAAAAATTGGCATTTTAACACTACGTTAGCACATTTTCCTTAACGCCACCAAGGTGGGAAAGCAGCGAAAGACGTTCCTAAAGGAAGATGTTAGTGAAGCTGGAATATTTACCTTTGCATTCCTTTTGAAAAATGTGCAGCATCTAGCAGCTGCTGAGCCCACGTATCGGACGCGAGTACTGCGTCAGCGTTGGGCTGAGACCCTGATCCAATCCTGCGCCCCAGAAATGTGGACCGCCCCTTAAAAGGAGTCTGGCAGCCTCTTCCCATGGTGCCTGGAAGGCGTCTCCCACTTGGAGCAGAATCTGTAGCAGCTGTGCCCGCTGCAGGTTGCTTCCCAGCTTGACAGTGCACGCAAGGACACCCTCGCATTCTCGGTTTGTACGCCCAACCACCAGGATGGGGACATGCACCAGTGGGAGCCGCGTTGCAGACTCCACAGTGCAGCCGCCTGCATAATGGCGGGCGTGGCCCCAGCACAAATTTTTGGCTCCTTTGTTCGGAGCGCCCTCCTCCCTCTGCCCGTGTAGTCGAGTGAACATACTTTACACTGCATTAAATAAACGCTGTTTTTCAAAGTAGCAACTTTCTTTTCTTTTCAAACCTCCTGTGGCTCTTACTGGTGGTCAGCAAACTTCTGATTGGAAAAATGGGATACTCCATTTTTTGGCAAAATGGAGTATCCCATTTTGCCAAAAAATAGTGGCAAAATTTTTGGTCCCCATTTTGCCAGTATTTTTTTAAAGTGAAAGCATCTACTGTCCCATGGAACGAGCCGACGTCATCAGTTTGAAGCGCGAAAATGGCACCTAGTTTCCCTGATTCCAAAGGTCCCATTGGCTGGCACGCGGCGACGAGGCTCCCATTGGCCACTGCACGCGTCAGTTTCAACGACCGCCGCCAGGTGGCGCTGCGTGTCCGTGCCGCCAGCACGCCAATAAAACTAACTGCCGCAACCCCATGCCACTACGGGCCTCGCGCCGGTTAAAACGGACAGGTTGGCGCACGCGCGGAGGCCTCTGCTCGTCTCGCTGCCGACCAACATGCTGTCGCCTCTATCATCCACATTGTCGGCGGTGCTTCTGCTTGTCTCGCCGACAACGGACGTGCCCCCCCCCCCCCCCCCCCTAAAATCCTGGCTACGTGCCTGATTCATTGTATATCATAACATCAAGCGTGCATGAAAAAAGCCAAATACAAATAGCACTTTTTAATTTGTTTGCTTATCTTTGTATAAAGAAATCTTCGGGTTACCACTCAAAGGGGATGTCATTTTATCATTATCAGTTCCATCGTATTTATGTTAAAAGTGGTCAGTCTTCCCGAGACACTGCATGTCGGAGGAAAAATGATCTCAATTATGTGACCCGTCCTAGGTGTCCGCAACACACTCTGCCCAGAAGAAGTGCACAAAAAGGATACCTATATATTTTTTTTTTTCGTTTTTTTGTTTTGTAACATTTATTTTATGCAGACGCATACTTTTGAAACATGGAAGTTAAAAAGGGCATACTCAAATATGACATTTTAGTTTCGTCAAACAATTAAAGATGAAACCCGTTTACAACTCGCTGTAGCGCTGCATTAGAGCGCAGCTCTTGAGGAGGAGGATGGAAGGGTACTGAAGGATAGGTGACTCTCTGAGGTCACGTTACCTGAGGGGGGGAGGGGTCACGTGACCTCAGGGAGGTAACCCTCATGACCCTTGTGAAGGTAACCCTCGTGAGGGTAACCCTCATGAGGGTAACCCTAATAACCCTTTTGAGGGTAACTAACCCTCGTAACCCTCGTGAGAGTAACCCTTGTAACCTTCACGAGGGTTACGCCGACGGCGACGCCGCTCAAGCTGGAAACGGGCGCAAGAGCTGCGCTTTAAAAGTAAGAGAGGATCATATTCGTCCGGCTACGACGCCCTGGCGTTGTAGTTGGACGAATATGAACTACCAGACTTTTTGGCTAGAACTCTAAGCATATTAAAAAGAAACACATGTGCGTGCGCTGTTGATTCCGAAACTTAAAAGGGATACTGAACCGAAATTTTGAACTCACAAAACAAGGCCGGGCGGATAGGCGGGAAGCTCCAAAACCAAAAAATATCACTCATACGGCGATATATCTAACGGATCGCCGTATTTTTTGGAAAAGAAGTGCGCGATTGAACCCGGCCGACGAGGCCGACGCGACAGAGCACGTCACGATTCCCATTCTCTCTCCTCCTCGCTACGTCCCGTCAAGCTGGTGAACCGAAGCGAGGAGGAGAGAAGCGAGGCCGCTTCTCCTCACTCTCAAATTCTCCCGGTGGACAATTACGTCAAAGAACTCGCTTGATCGCGCCCTTCTTTTCCAAAAGTACGGCCATCCGTTTGAGATATCGATGTGCGAGTGATGTTTTGGAGTTCGTAGCGTCCTGTTCAACACTTCTACAGCCTTACTTTGCGAAATCCAAATTTCAGTTCAGTATCCCTTTAACAGACCGTGGCGCCACAGGGTCGCGCTTTCTGTCGAAGCACTTTTGTTTTTGGAATTATGACTGCACTACTCTATGGAGAGGGGGAGGTTTCTTCTACTTTTTTGTGACTTGTATGTTTGAGGTTTTTTTTTTTTTTTTTTTTGCCCCCAGAGAAAGTTTTTCGCTCTTTCCCTGCCAATGTTCTAGCTTTCTCGAGACGATTGATACCCTGCATTCTTTACTTTTTCTATAAATAGCATTTTTGTCGAGATGGAACGCGCTAACTGAAGCAATCTTGAGTGAGGATCAGATCTTTCTTAGGATCCCTATTTCTTCGAAACGCATTTTGTGGGAATATGTTTCGTGGACAACGTTTCACGGACATACATTTCATGGACACACGGTTTGTCGACGCTGTACGTTTTGTGGGCACATGCTCCTGCGACGTTTTGTCGACAACGCATTTCTTCACTTTTACTTCACTTCACTTCATTTACGGTCGATTTAAAGAGCCTGGCGTCTCCTTGAATCACCCTGTAGATTTCAGACTTCAATCGGCGAAGACATCTCGCACGTTTCGCGTCGTTCGGGTGAATAAGCAGGAATTTAATTGAAACAACCCCGAAAACCACGCACCGCTTCTTTTTGCCCGTTATTTTGAGAAAATGTTTTTTGTACTGGTTTACAAAATTCAAAAAGGAATCAACTTGGAACTAATAAGATACCAGCACTTACAAAAAACATTGGAACCAACAGGATACACGTAGTCGCTTTCACTGAAGTGCTTACTACACACGCGAGAGGTTTTCATATTTCGCTTTCCTACTACAACGAAATTTCGGCGCTCATTTTTTGGTCTATATGTGTTCAAAGGAGCAGCATCATATCGAACATACCAAGATCTTGTTTAAAAAGTCACGAAAATGAATTTTAAAACGAATGAAACGATTAGCAAAGAGCCCCTGGTGGATGTCGCTAACGCCTCGCTTGTAATGCCCGTCTAGCAACATTGACAGCTAGTGACGGAGGTTGTCTCGCCTCCGGCCACGACGAGAGAAGAGAGGCAGGAGGAACTCCCCTCTTCTTGAGAATGCCTTTTGTGTGTCGCAGAAGTCGCTATTGTCCCCCCACAAGATTATAGAATATTAACCCGTCACTCAAAATTCTTACAAAAGCAGCCGCTTCGGTGGCTGGAACGACTAGGCCATCCTCTCAGCGTCAGCCTCGCCTTAGCTTTGCTCGTCTTGAGACGACCTACGTCACGATTGCGTTGGATGTCACGTGGCCTCCGCTGGGCCTTCTCCGAGCGCGTGCCAGGGTAGGCCGTTTGTAACGAAAAATACAGCCACCAGGCTCAAAGTACAAACGTGCGATTGTCATTTACGGATATTGTGGATCATATTCAACCTATTTTTGAACACGACGGGAATATTTCAAATATTGTTGAAGTATCCCTTTAAAGGGCCCATGAAACGCATTTTGGGCTGGGATAAATCAATTTAGATTTGGATTTTACTAATAGCACATTGTTCAGCGGGCCAAAAGAAAAGAAAAAAAAGGTAGAAAGTCAAAAGCCTGACTTTCGGTACGAAAATTTGAGAACACAGAGAACTATTTCGTACCTCCTTCCTTTCGTAAGCTCTCTGCCTTTTCACTATGATCCATCCGCGGACCCCGCAGCGCGTCACCGGGTCCAAACGCACGTCACAGGACAACGGACCTCACGTATTCCCTTCACCCCTAAGCTGACACTGCGGTGGAGGCTGCGCGCTTGCCCGACCAATCAGCCGCCTCCCTTTCGTCGCCTGACCTCATTTTCTGCGCGTGTGTATGCGCGAGAGAGCTTACGCACGTGGCAAAAGTGTGGCTGGCCCAACGAGCACGTAGCTTCCACAGCACTGTCAGCTTCGGGGTGAACGGGGTTGGGAAAGCAACTTTTGTCTGAATTTTGAGCGACGGGCTAATCTTCTAGGGGGAGAATGGCTGTGTCCGGGTACACAAACGAGAGTATAAGCAAGAGGGGACTCCCGCCTTTCCGTCTTCTTTACTGTTTGGTACAATGCGCGGTTGGTGAGTTGAGGAGGAAAGCTAAGCAGGAAAAAGTTGGAAAATGGTTTCATGACCCCTTTTAAATTTGATGGAACATTCCTTTCTGAGTTTGATTATGTCCGAATCATAACAATATATATATATATATATATAATTATACACAGGGTGTTTCAGAAAACGCAGGCCAAATCGCTCCTGCGAAAACTACTCATCGCAACGAAAAAAGGCTTGTGGCGTTTTGGTCCTGGGCCAGGGGCCCATTTAGGAAAATTGTTAAAGTTCAGGATAATTAAGTTGTTAATTATTTTTGCAGAATTAACTTTTTTTAATATTGTGTTTAAGGGCATGGTTTAAATTATAAAATAGCTCAGCATTATCGAAAAACACGAAATCAACTAATTGGGGAACGATAGAAGGCTCGCGAAGCATTTTACAGCTTTCTGAAAAATCGACGGGTTTTAGGTTTCGGTTTGCTATCGGTGCGCATCTCAGTCCCTTCGGTACCGCGCCCCATGGAGAGATAGTGCAACCAGCCTCTGCTGCGTCGCGCGATGACAGCGCACCAGAGATTGGTTGCTCTATCCACGGGGCGCGGTGCCGCCGGGGCCGAGATGCGCTCCGATAGCAAACCGAAACTTAAAAGCCCGTCGATTTTCTGCGGTTTTTCAGAAAGCCGTAAAATTCTTCGCGTGCCTTCTATCGTTCTGCAATTTGTTGATTTAGTGTGTTTCGATGATGCTGAGAAATTTTATAATTTAAACCATGCTTTTAAACACAATATTAAAAAAGTTAATTACGCAAAAATAATTAACAACTTAATTATCCTGGACTTTAATCATTTTCCTAAATGGGCCCCTGGCCCAGGACCAAAACGCCAGAAGCCTTTTTTCGTTGCGATGTGTAGTTTTCGCAGGAGCGATTTGGCCTGCGTTCTGTGAAACACCCTGTATATATATATATATATATATATATATAGAGAGAGAGAGAGAGAGAGAGAGAGAGATATAACACCATATTCGTTCTGGTAGGTGATGTAGCGGGGTAAAGCGCTAAATATTCTATATTCATCATACAGCTTTTTTT